TCAAGAAAGTAAAATAGTGAGGGCACAGTTGTGATTGAGATATAATATAGATGGCATAACAAAGGTCCCTTGTAATTCTTGGGCATCAAAGACTAAGATCAGAAAATAGACCAGATTTTCTTTACAGCAATATCATCACAAGTGATGAATTCCAAACGATTCAAAAAGAAAAACATTTTAAAATTTACCAATCATGTACATGCTGCTTCTAACATAAGAATCAGATCATAATAATAATGTCAGCTGAAAAGTGTCAGCTACAGATAGGTTCAACTATAAGAGATGATTGATCAGCATGCATGAGGGATTCCTGCTGTTAGACCGAGCAACAAGGATGCACAAATAACACTAGATTTTTAAAGGGCTTAGATTTATATTAAAAACGGCAAGGCCTGTTATTTTAATTGTGAACAATAAAAATTGTTGACGAGAAAAGGGATACGATTCATCTCATGGAGCCAGTCATGAATCATTCCCAACTGAGACTAAATGGAATCTATTTTTTGCATAATTAACAGCCCAGCGTTTAGTATCAACTAACTGTCTCTAGCAGAAGACTTAATATGAGACAGTTCCATATGAACATGAACAAAATTAGTCTGATGCTATGTCAGGACTTATAAAAAACAAAGTAAGAATAAATATTACCTTATTGTGGGCTGCAGATCCACCATATTGATAAGCTAGTGTGTCTCCCATTCTCTCGTATAACCCCATTAAAGTACTAGACAAAGGATCATCAAGTTCTATTGTTGGAGCTTCTCTAATTCCTAAAGCATGAAGCTGTTGCCCTAGAGCAGCCCAACCATATGCATATTGGGCAACATTTGTACGATCAAGGCAATCTATGCAGTTGGTCCTCAGCACTCCCCTCTGGAGCCTGCGAGGTTTGATATCATAATCGCCATTTGCAACATTCTTACTTGGGCGAAAATTCTTCTCTAATGAGTCATAATCCCTACTATCATCATCAGAACTATTATGTGGAGACGTATCGGCACTGCAATTTAAAGACATTAGTACTGTAAGTGTTTACTATATCGCTTCAGGAAAAAATAAATTTTCTAATAGAAATATTTCAATACCACCATTTTCCACCAAGTAATAGTTGCATCCTATTTCCCATTTTCAAAGAGTAAAACAAATAATCAAATGGTTGGTGACAATTAACAAGTTATCCAATTTGCAGGAAGATAGCCAGGAAAGGACTTTTAAACTAGAAGAATAATTGCATGAACCACTTTGCATATAACTCGGAGAAGAATTTCTATGATGAACAAGTAAGTTACAGGAAGTCAAGAAAAAAGGCTTACTCAGACGAAGACAAGCTCATATAACCCTCAAGCTTCATTGCTGGTGTAAGTTGATAATAAAAGAAACCTGTTAGCATCAAAGCACAGGCAGCTACTTTTCCAAGAAGTGCCAATACATTTTCTGTTTTGCTGAAATAAACACAAAGAAGAGAGAAAGCTGGTTTTTATCTAAAAATGTATTGATAATTATTCATTATTTGAAGCAGCTGGAACGCAAATTAAAAGGATACCTGTGAAAATGTTTGTGCAAGTCCCAGTGGAGGAATCTAAGCCGATTTTCTTCCGGCAGATCTTTGTTTATAAAGTCAATTGCATTAGCAAACTCTGCCCGGAGAATCGACTCCCTGGGTTTCCTCTCGTTGGTCTATTGATTGTCAAAAGTAACAAGAAACATCAGTGAAAGCGTCGAGGTGTGAGAGAATCAAAATCGTTTCATCGATAGTTTAACTAGAATAAGGTTTACGAAGATGCATCACTTGCCGATTCAAAAGGTACCCAGGGAAGTTATGAGTACGCGTGAAAGATGATAAGAACGTGAAAACAAGCTAGATTAGGCAACTCACCTTGATCAAGTTCAGAATAATGATGGGTATTCCATAACGCTCCACAAGGTTTTCAAAGTGTAGTCTAGTTGCCTCATAGTTCAGGTCCCTTTTTGACACTGGAATTGAAATTGAGGTGTTCAAACACAAAGAAAAGAGAGGGAGGAAGAAAGATGACCAGGCAGTATATTATTTAGTATAATAACACTTACATACTATATCAGGCTTAACTTTCATCCGTGAGGTCTCCTGTGACCAGAATAGAGGGATTGAGCCACGATTCTGCACAACAGAACTTATTTGCATGGGACGGTCAACAGGAACGTCCTCAGACACTATCTGTTCTGTTTCCACATCATTAGCAACATTGCCACTTTCGTTTATTCCTCGTTTCAAGTACCTAAAATCATAAGAAGTTAAGAGAAAATAAGCATAATAACTACCCTCAGACCTCAAGTGAAGATATATAATTTAAATCTCATAATGTTGGAAAGACCCTCGAGATGGAAAAAATTCTTATTTGATTAACAGTGTGGACTTTGTTTGCAATGATTTCATGCTACTGCTAAAAAGTAGAATACAGAGCGACTTATAATAGTCACGTTTACCACAGAAATGGAAACTAGGGAGTGATGAAATCTGATACCTGGTTCCAGCATTATGGCGGGAACGCCTAGCAATAAGAGTGAGTTTGAAATTCCGTCCAGCTTCAGAAAGTGTTGTCTACATGCACAGCAAAACAAGGTTCAGCACCCATGAATCTAAACAGTACTGTAAGATTATGAAGGTATTTGAAAATAAAGATGCCAGAGTATCATAGCTGTATCTGAAGTAGCACGACCAAGAATATCAAAATTGATAGTCAACTATTAAAAATTTGCATATGAGACAAAAAGCTTCTTTCCAGACCTTTTAGGCAAGACATGACATGATTTAGGGAAGCAAAATAGTGATCCTAAAGAAAATGATACACAATAAAAAGACTACAAAGGAAAAATAATAATTTTATCTGTATTCGGGCAAACTTTCTTTCCTCTGGGCTAGTTAGTGAGGTGCAGATAAAGATCGAATTCTCACCTGCTTAAAAAACCCATACACCAATGCTACAGTCCACAGGGTATTCCGAAGGTGATGTCGAGTTCCCCGAGTCAAGAATTCGTTCCACACAAACATTTTCTTATAGAGAGTACCTCCACTCTCATGGTCGCATATATTCTTCTGGAAACTTCGCATTATATTGTAAGAATAGCTGAAAAAGAAGTCTTTTGTAAGGTCCACCATACACAGGAGTCTCTTGTACCTATTTATCAACAAGTGGGAAACATCAGATAGAGAAAGCAAGGGTTAAATGACTTCAGTTCATATATTGGGTGGAAGGGAGCAATTTTGCTAAAGCCGTGCACTCTCTCTTTCCACCAAACAGAAAAGAAAAACAGAACCTTTCTTCAGCAATGGGATTGCAATATATATTTTTTTTAAAGCATAATGTAGCCAAAGGTATATCAAAATACCTGTTCTCGTCTCTTGAATTTGCAGTGTTGCAAAGCACGCTAGAATTTTGCAATGCAATTATATCACTCTTTGACACTTCATAAACACTGTGACCACAAATTTCACCGATCTCTCTTCTTTCAGTTATAAGCAGCATGTAGTATGGTCCCAAAAACTTAATGAACCCTGAGAGCACATAAAAGGCCAAAAAAAGAAACAAATTATGAGAACAAAGCTGTAAAGTAAAACCATCTACTAGTCTTCTGCAAACATAACTTGAGAGAGAAAAAACATACCAATGATTCCATAACAAACAGTGACAAGTTTGAGTCCACCGGTCGCCTTGTTTCCTTCGTGTATCCGTTTAAGCAACTCGTAGCATTCTTTTTTGGAATACGCAGTCGAATCCTCTCGGAGATTAAGCTCAGACGCATCGAGCCGGTCTATCTTTAGTATTCTATACACTCCACTACCATTCCAACCAATCATGTAGAAATTCTGAAAAAGATATCATCATGTTAGTGACAGTCCATGAACCATGGTAAACAGTAATACAACACGAAAACAGATCTCATAGCTGATTTATGAGGCAAGAAAAGCAATCAAATGGCAGTGATAATACTCAAAAGTGGAAGGTTTTTAGATACCGATTGAGTCTCGAAGAGTTTGAATTCTTGCATACAGCCTAGGAGAGCAGATGATCCAGAGGAGCCTGAGCCTCCATTCTCCATTGATGGCGATGAGGTCATAGATGATTCTCAATAACTTTGATTTACAAATCTAAGCCCAAGCCGCTGGGCTGAGAGAATTTATCTCGCCGGAGCATTCACCAAATTCCAAAATCCAGAGAACAAATAAAAATGCCGAATTCAATTCAAATCAAAGATACTCTTAAAATTTTGACGGAGGCGAAGCTCGTTGGTTTCAAGCACAAAACGAATCTCTTGCTCCCGAGATTCGCACCATGGACTTACAAAAACAATCGAGCAACCGACGAAAACAAACAGAGATTATTTGTTGAGCTGCTCTCGAATCGAGAACAAATGTGAGACAAATAGAAACGGAAAACAGGTAAGCAAGTAAAGAGACCCGATCACGGAGATAACAACTCCAAACGAAGAAAGAAGCTCAGATTCGCAGATGACACAGAAGATGAGATAACGAATTGGTAAATTTGAAAAAGAAGACAAGCTTATATTGAGGAAGAAGAAGAAGAAGATGATAGAGAGAGAAAGAAAGAAGGGTTTATGATGTAGAGAGAGAGATGATGATGATAATAGTTTCTCAGCTGTTTTCTTTGTTTGTGTCGAGGATTGGATCGGGGAAGAGAGAGAGAGAGAGACGACGACGCAACAAAACCACAATTTCTCTCTTCTTTAATTTAAAAAAAAAAAAAAGGAGCCCGTGACGAAGCAATATACTAACAGCTGTCTGGACTCTTATGGAATAGCTGCACTTTCGAGGAGTTATTACTCTTTTTTTTTCCTTCCAATTTTTAAGTCACACATATAATCTTTATTTTTAACCTAAAACAATTAATTAATCATGAACTATGACGTTTGATTAAAAAAAAAAAAAACTATGACACAGGTAAATTTTGTACTATTTAATATAGGCTAGAACGATTTTAAAAAATTGAATTCTGAGATATCAAAATGGGTAGCAACTTTCATTACCCGAAAAACCTTACTTACAAAGCTCTTTTGCTCCATCATCACTTACTTGTACGTTTACAAAATGATCAACAGTTGACAAAAGACTAAAGAAAATGGTTCTTTGACCTCAATACAAGTGAAAGGGTTGCTAAAAAAAACACACAAAAGGCAGAGAAGCAAGGCACTGTGTGGCCAAAAACATCAATCCTTGCAATCTGTTACACCTTCTGTAGATATTTGAAATCGTGCTTCCGCTTCTGGCAAGCATGGCGAGCTTATCACTTTACAGATTCTCTCCTCTGCTCTTCCTTTCCTCAACGCCAGCCTGTATCATAACAAACACACTTTGCCAATGAACCCTCAAAAAAAATAACAAGAAACAAGGATTCATCGAATTTGCAAACATTACAGACCTTGTTGTGGTGGCATGAGCCATGATATTCCCACCAATCGGCTTAAATTGGGGACCGGCAAAAAGAGCTGAACCATCTACTTGCGCAACTACTTGGTTTGTTATAACAACAGCCACACCAAACTAGAGCCATTAAACATAAGAAGGAATACTTCAGGATGGTGTCTCAGAGCAATTTTGGAAAGGAAACCGTTATTACTGAATGTTCACCTCATCTGCTAACTTCTGAAGACTTCTCAAGAACTTTGCAAGATGCATTTGTCGAGCTGAAAGCTCTCCTCTTCCAGAGAAATCTGTCCTGTAGAGAGCGGTAGCACTATCGACAATCATGAGAGCAAACCTGTGCCAATAGGGTCATCGTAACTTTCAGAGTTAGCACTCTCGTGATAGACATTATGGAACTGAGAACCTAAAAAAACTCAACACACCTTGTTTCAATCATCATTGATGCTGCTTCAAGCAAAAGCCTTGACTGATGATCAGTATTATATGCCCTTGCATAGGCAACGTTTTCTAGTACATCAGCTCCATTTAGTCCAAACCTTCATCATTTCAATTGACTTCTTACAGATTATTCTGTCTCAAGAACCCCATTGTGATCTCATGAGTGTTACAAATATAACATACCTGTCAGCTATCTGTAAGAGTCTTTGTGGCCTGAATGTTCCCTCGGCATCAATGTACATCGCCTTTCCCTCTCCACCTCCTTGATCCATGGGAAGCTAATCATTTAAATGTGAACCTTAATGTAAATATCTTTCTCACGTTTGGAAAATGTAAGAAGAAATTCAAGATCACTGAGTCCTGATATAAAAGCAACAATAGCTGAGTGGTAAATTCAGAAAAAGTGTTCTCACCTGACAAGTTACACACAGTGTATGGCACAACTGAGTCTTTCCAGAGCGGAACTCACCATATAACTCAGTGATGGATCCAGTTTCAATACCTCCTGTTGAGAATACGGCAAAGTAAGATCACAATAGCAAAATGCCGTTTTAAAATGCACCAAAAACCAGCCAGCACCAACCTTCTAGAACTTTATCGAGCTCCCGTGATCCAGAGGTAATCTGAATAATCTCTTGTCTCTGGGCATGTAGCTGACTAGCACTAGTGAAACCCAGAGGAACTAGCTTTGAAGCTGTCACAGAAGAAAACACAAATAAGAAACACACAACTCTAAAAGTATCAAAGAGGTGTTATGTATTTAACAAAGAAGGAAAGCAAATTCTTTACCTGCTTCTACAATTTTGTCAACCTTGGCATCACTAATCCCCTTAATCTGCAACAGATCCTTCCTTGGAGTATAAGCAACACCTTCAACAGTACAGAGACCAGCATCCCTAAGCTTCTTTACATCCACAGAAGCGATACCTGCGGCCTGAAGTTTTGAAGAAATAGAGAGATTAAATAGCATATAACCAAAAGACTCTAACCAGAAGAACAAAACACACTGATTCATCTCCCTTCTATGGACATAAATCAAGATAATTGAGAAGACCCATAGATTATATGACATTGGAGTCACAACAAGAGAGAAATTGCCCAGAATTGAACGGATTAAACATATAATTCTAAAAACCCCAAAAAGGGTCAATTTTTATCGGAACCCTAAAACTTTTTTGCTCTACGGACCATAGCAAAACCCAATTCTCGCTCAGATTCACACCTCTTTCACATCGCGATGACGAACACAGTGTAGAAAAAAAAGCAGAGATTTTTAGTGAATTAAAGCCGAACCCATTTCAATTAACGAAAGATCTGGTGAAGTTTAAGCAACGCGAAGGTAAATTTCCACTACAAATGAAAGAAATCTGGAGAAATTGAACCTGAAGCTGTTCGACGGGGAAAGGGCCGTGCTGGATCTCTTCATCGTCTTGTTGTTGGACAGCATTCTGGTTTCTCCGCTGCTCCATTGTCGTCATCGCTCTCAATCAGAACAAATCCGGGTCACCAGAGAATGCGAGAGGGCAAAAAGAGAGCTTGCGAGTGGAGGGAAATGGCGAAACTGAAAACGAATTGAAAGAAGCGCCACTACCAAAATTATACAAGACGATAAGGGCAAAGGCTTCTTCAACAAGTCTCGATTGCTTTTCCTCGGCCTTTTATCATCTTGGGCTCTTAAAGCCCAAAGTAATGTGGCCCATTACTTAATCAGTTAGATAGTTAGATCAATTCTTATTTTATAAAATACAGAAACAACAACAAAATCCTCCTCATTTTTATAATTAATTAAGTACCATATTATTTTTGAATTTAAAATAACACGTATGAAATATCAAAGTTGGTCTAATTATCGATTCTCAAATCAATTTTTATTTTAAATTATTTTCAGTTAAAATTAATTTTTACATATAAATACACTAAATTAATGTTTTGAATAACAATATTTACCGTCAACCAAGTGGCATCTAGGCGTTCGCCGACCGAGAACTACCACAACTTTCACTATTGCACGATTCTAATAATGTAGTAATCACTTATTATAGCAACAAAAAAATACATATATATTAAACCACAAAACCGAAAAGAAAAAAAATATCATTTTTATTTTCAAAAATTGGTAAAATACAAGAAATTTTTCCATACTTTCTTTTTTCATGTAAGAGTAATTTATAGTTGGAAGCCTGGAACTTTAAATGGAAAATAAGTTGATAACTAAAGGTTAAATTAAATTAATTATCTATTGTAAATACACAAAATGTAACCTTTTATATAAAAGAAATGTTGTAACTTAGAAAAGGAAAAAGGAAGGGCCCAACCGGGTTCGAACCGGTGACCTATTGATCTGCAGTCAATTGCTCTACCACTGAGCTATGGACCCATATTGCTTTTATAAGTTCAAAGTTTTAAATTATTTATTTCATTAATTGTTGTAAATCCTAATATAGTCAAGTCAATTATTTACTTATTTAGTAATCCTATAAATTATCATAAAACTTTTCACAAACAAACTAAACCATGAAATTTAAAAAATTCATTTTCAGTTGCTAAACAATATAAATACGAAAAATTGTCAATTTTTTTGACTCAAGACGAAAAATTGCGAGATAAAACCTTGAAATATAAGATTAGTCGACTACTAGATGCTTAATGCTAATCGCATATTTAACTAAATATATTATAAAAAAATTATTGGTAAACTGAAAAAATTATAGGGCCCAACCGGGTTCGAACCGGTGACCTATTGATCTGCAGTCAATTGCTCTACCACTGAGCTATGGACCCATATTGCTTTTATAATTACAAAGTTTTAAATTAATTATTTTATTAATTGTTGTAAATCCTAACATATTTAAGTCAAATCTTCTATATATTAAAAGAGAGTAATTAATGCTTATGTGTCAAACTCACAATTTTTTTTTTGTCATCTGGTAGAAATTTTATTAAAGATCCGAAGAGCCATAATACAAACCATAACACAAAGTCGGCGACTAACAACGTAATCCCGAAAACTAAGCCGGCGGAAAACAAACATATCCCCGGAAACTAAGCCGGCGGTTAACAACACAACCCCGGAAACTTGCCCAAAGACATGAGAACCTTTTTAACTAACACCAAAAGGCAAAGCAAACCAAAACAAACAAAGGCAACAAAGACAGTAACTGAAGCATGGACAGCAAACAAAGGAAAATCGGAATCTAACCACACAACAACGTCAACCGCAAAGCCTAAAGAGAGGAGAGCCTTCCACGAATGTCACCGAAAGGGATGAAAATCCCAACTAACGGAGAGCGATTCCACCTATAGCGGATGAAGACTACCACACAAAGCAAGAGTTCTGAAGAAATCCGAACGGCGAGACGGGATCTAGGCCAAAAGACATCGTAGACCACAACAGAATTATTCTCACTTTTTCTATTTTTATTTATTTAATTATATTATCCTTCTAACCAAACACTTTTATTTACTTATAATACCTATATATATATATATTTTTAATACCAATTGTCAAACACATAAGAATCCTAAATTTACTAAATATAATTACTTTAAAAAATACCTTCCTAAAATTAAATTTTCCTAGAGAACAAATATAATAAATAAAAAATCCATAAAACAAATTTCAATAATCTTCTAATAATTTAACATAAGATGAAACAATATTGTCAATTTGTCAACAATCCAAATTTACAAAAGTATAAATTTTAATGATAAAGCCAAACAAAGTAATTTTATAATTTTCAAACGTATTAAAAAATCATAATAATTTAATCAAATATATATATATATATAAGGGAGATTGACACAAATAGCCCCAAAAAAGTTATTTTTTCCAAAAATAGCACCTCATTTGAAAAGTTCCACAAATAGCACCATAAACTTCAATTTAACTTAATGAAAATATAAGATAAAAAATAAAAAAGAGGGCAAACATTAATCTAATATTAAATTGAACCAAAATTGTTTTTAAATAGTGGAAATATATACCCTAATTTGGAAATAGGGAACCCAAATATAATATCACAAACTAATATTAAAATAAAAATCTCTTTTAAATGGTGGAAATATATACCCTAAATTAGAAATAGGGAACCCAAATATAATACCATAAACTAATATTAAAATGAATCAAAATCTCTTTTAAATGGTGGAAATATATACCCTAAATTAGAAATAGAGAACCCAAATACAATATTTTAAATTTATTTCTAATTTATTTTGTTGAATAGCTTTTATATAAAAATTTTGGTATTATTGAAAAAAAAACTAGTGATAAAATTTTTAGAACAAAAACACTAATAGTAAGTTAACTAGTGCTATTTTTGGAAATTTATGGAGTGTGTGCTATTATTGTCAATAAAACTTGTTTTAGGGCTATTTTTAGGAATTTCTCTATATATAATCTATAAAATATATTAATAAAGTTAAATAACATAAAATTCACCCGCGCATGGCACGGATTCTTACCTAATATTTAATTATATAGTAATCATAAACAATTATCACAAACAAATTAAACTATGAAATTTAAAAAAATAATTTTCATTTGCTAAAATATTATAAATACAAAGATTTGTTAAAAATTTTTTATCCAAAATGAAAAATTGCTAGCTAAAATGTTGGAGTATAAGATTAGTCGCTAAATGCTAATCGAATATCTAACTAAAACTCTTATGAAAAAAATCTATTGGTAAATTGATAAAAATAAAAAATAAAAAAATAGAGCCCAACTGGGTTCAAACCGGTGACCTATGGGCTATGGATGTGCAGACCATTGAGCTATGGACATGTTTGCTTTTATAGAATCTTGATATAAAATCTTGTATTTGTTTGACCAAAAGAAAGAAAAAGTCTTACATTTAATTTCAAATATATTCATGACCATATCGCACTGAATTTACATTCGATGTAATCTCTATATTGTATCTTAATCTCAATCTTATACTTAAAAACCATTAGTGACGTCTTCTCCTTTTCTTTACTTTACTTTTTTCACTAAATCCCAGAAGTGAAACTAACTCCCGTAGAGGGCAACCAAGAAACTCCATCAAGAAATTTACCAACGCTAAAATAACTTGCATCTTCAAACCCAATCAAGTGAAACCCCTCCCACGTCACTCTCTTGGAAACTCTAGCTTTAGGACCATAATTCTTAAACTCTCCAAAGTACAATGTCTTTAGTACTTCGTCTCCGGAGTCTAACCACCCGGCCCATCCTTCCTCTGCGATCGCGTCGTCAATATACGATTCCATCACTATAGACCTCGAATACTTTCTCCACGGCCGTCCTAAGTATGAGCTATACTTATGTTTCACCGGCGAAAGATCTGAATCGGTTCGGATCCTACAACTATGAAGTGCAAATCCGGTATTTTGACGTTGGTCCGTCCTCCCGTTAGCGAGAATAACATTATAGGCCTTGACACCATGAGGGCGACGCAAGAATATGTTGCAGCTTTGAAAAACCGCAGCTGCGTTTCCAAATATGAAATCTATGGTTCCATATATATCACATTCTCTATAGAACTGACGCAATGCAGCTGCGTAAAGTGTGTCTTGATAACCGGAGATGCTACATCGGTATAACACTGATTGGTCTGATGTGATACTTAATGCTATGGCTTGATGTCCTCCAGGCCCTGCAGTGTTTTTGATTCCGATATCTCGTGCGATGAATCCGTCACCCGTAACCGCTGCAAGAATTGCATTTTAATTATCAAACAATCAATTTTTGTTATAAACAATTTACGTATATGAATGAATAATGAGTGTATGTACTGACTCATTGTAGCGGTGTCCGGGACAGAAGTTCCTCCGGTGGCACTATCATCGCCAACAATCACCGTCTGGTCTTTGCCTTCTCCGATCAAAGTAATCTCATGGTTATGGATTCTTACTTTCTCTTTGTAAACCCCTCTTTTCACGTAAATTATGAACCTGCCGTTTGCGTGGGCAGCCGTGACAGCCTCCATCACGGTCCGGTAATCTCCGGATCCGTCTTTGGCGACTACCACGTGTGCTCTTGCTCTACCTGCTAGAAGTCTCCTTTCTCCGGCAGTGACCCATCGGGGAAGACCGGTTGACTTTGTCTTTGGCTTTGGATTCTGCATGATTGTGTCGACAAGGGCCAAGGAGTTGCTGACGAGCCGGGAGAGGTGATCCATCTTCTGTGTTATGTGGCTGATGGCAGCGGAGGGGGAGGTTTCACGGTAGTCAAGGATGGAATCTTTGCAAGCTTGTTGGAAAGTTATGGCGGCGGAGAGCCATGTTTGGACGTCGTGTTTGGTGTGACGTTTTCTCGATGAGCCATTGAGAGCTTCCATGGCTTGCTTAAGTCGTCTTGTGGACATTTTCATGAGCCGTTCACAAGAATCTGTAACGTTATTGATGCCAATTAGCTTCTTTTTTTTTCACGTATGGGTTGAGTTAAAAACAAATTAGTAGTTGTGGATTTTAATGTACCGAGAATTTGTACTTAGCTTGTATGTTTTGTCAAAATTATTAGGTATCTTGGTACATAAAAGAGAAATACTTCAACTACTTTATGAGTGCTTTTTTATTTTAGTAACCAAGTAGATAATATTTTCGGGCATACAGAAATTTTTATACGTACCATATACTATATATCTAAATTTTTTTTGAGTGAAAGTAGTAACTAAAATGAAAGGCAGAGATAAAAATGGTAAAGCAATATAAACAAATGTTACAAAAAAGAAAATTTATCAAAGTAGATGATGAGAATTATGTTGTGTACCTGAGACCGAAGGTGAAGGCAAAGTATAAGTGGAATCTTCCAGAGAAACTAGTTCGGAGGAACCCATCGAAGAGGAGAGAGGAGGAATTAGCAGATTGGAGTCAAAGATAGTCTTGTTAACAAGAAAAGACACAAAGTCGAGACCGTCAAGAGATCCATGTCGAAACTCTCGTAAGTTTTGGACACAAAGTGAAGTGTACTTTGTGGAGCTACAATGCCTTTGCAATTCATTTTGGTAAGCAAATGGCAAATTTCCTAAAGAGGCATTAACAATGAGAAGGGCATTGACCAATAACACCCAAAAAAAAACCATATCTATAATACCCATTTCTTTAAAACAAAAAGTTGGTTATCCTCTGTTTATATTCTTGGTTACTTTATGTGGAAAGTTGATAATATCCAAACTAGAGATTATCATTGATTTATAGAGAGGAGGGGATGAAGAAGTTACTTTGAGCTGATGAGGTGAGTGTCTGGTGAGTTGGTTTAGCGGTCTACCATTTTTTTCCATAGAGTAGATTGAGACTTGAGTGGCTTCGATGGAATCATTAACACTCACTTTTATGATTTTTTTTCTTTATTGGTTTTTATTTGGGATCAATCATATTTATTTGTTGGACAACTTGATCCGAACTATATACTGTGTCGCAAATACTCGCTCGATCATAGCCAACATATAAATTATCAAAATCCAATCACTTAAAGTCTTAAACTATATATCCATTAATACCAAAACAGAACATTTGATACCTAACATAACTCTATTAGTTAACTTGGACAACATATTAAAACCTTTCTGTGTGGGTAAACAAACCAGGTGGAGACCAATATAAACAATCAGTTCTGATTGGTAAGAAGATAATGTAACATTATTTTATTACAACAACTCTGCAAAAATAAGTCAAATCATTTTATCAAACGGAAGAGTGACATAATAACTGCTAATCCGATGGACCACCACACTATAGTTCCTTATCTGAAATTTGGTATAGTTCTTTTGTCTTTTGGTTGCCCAACTATTTTTAAAAACTTCTACACTTGATAAGGTTTGCCACAAAAGTCTCAAACCCTTTGACGTTCCAAAGACATGGCAGATTATGGACCCTAATCACATTCGTTCACGTTGTTACCCGTTTTCATTTCATCTATTACGAATCAGATCATCATTACTAACCTATCATTATTTGCATAGCAAGTGAAAAAAGGAAAACAAGTTCTAAGAAAGAATAATTATATGTCCAGTTATCCAATTATGGACCGTTGTATTTACATTTCTATGAAAGAATGAAAAAAACATCCCCAAGGATCAATTAGAGAACACCAAACCGATTACCATCGCCACCGTTGCCGCCAACCTACATTTTGCTTCGGATGCACCGGAATTCCTTGGTGGCGGCTTCAACATCTGCTGCCTGCTCGTGTCGATTTCGATAGGAAACCTACACGAGCCACTCGACGGATCAATCTTAGTAAGAACCCCAAGATTGTTAAAATCGCATGAGCCACTACGATGATCCATTTTTTGAAAATACATGTTGAACGCATAAGAAGCGTTCGCGGTCGGGTCTAAGGCAGCGCAAGAGGAACCCGGCCCGAGCGAGGTACAGTCGGCGTTTTGACACGCGTACGTAGCAGACGCCTGCCACGCGCCGCTCCCCGCACCTTGAGTGGAGAGCACGCACCACTCACGTGCCAAGTAACGAACACCTTTAGCCGGAACCAACGGACGGCCGTTACCGAGACTTAGAGGATACTTAACGGCGCCGTCATAAGAGAATATTCCCCAATGTCGTTCGAATTTTCCGGGATCAATGCTCTTGGCATCTTCGTCTACTAATGAGAATAAGTAAACTTCCGGCGCCGTTCTCCGACGAGGCGTTCCTTGTCCTTGAAGGATACGATTCAATAATCCTTGATTGAATCTCTGAGCCATTGCCGGATTTGCGTTTTGATCGCCGTCGGTTGGCCATCCGACTTCTCCGACGATGATTTCAATTTTGTTCGGATCAAATCCGTTTTTCTCAAGCGCCGAGACTAAAGTGTCGAAATTTGCGTCGAAAACGTTCGTGTAAGAGATTGATCCGTCGACGACGGGCTTAGCTCCGCCGCCGCCTCCGTTTGGGAAAAAAGCGTATTCGCGCGGAAAATTTGGATCGGCGTTAAGAGAGAGGAAAGGGTAGATGTTGAAGGTAATGGGTGAGACGGAATCGGCTAGAAATCGAACAATGGAGACCATTAAGGTTTTGATGTCTGAACGGAAATCGCCGGAAGAAGGAAGACCGTCGCCGGATTCGTAGACGTCGGCATTAAGAGGAACCGTCACTTTGACTTGCCGGCCAAGACCAGCTTTCACCAGAGCTGCTTGAACGTTTTGCAGCGCCGGATATGTTGAACGGACGAATCTGTCTTTGTAAGTCTTCAAGAAGGGCTCATTCCCCACAGCTACATATCTGATCAACGATTAAAAATCCAATCTTTAGAAACTTTAAGCATGTTTTTAGCTTAAAAATTCAAACTTTGAATCAACCTTTTAGTTTGAAAGTCTAATCTTCAGAAGCTTAAGCATGTTTTTAGTTTAAAAATCCAAGCTTTAGAAACTTAAGCATGTGTTTCAAGCTATTGGCCTATATTGAAGTGTAATGCAAATTACCTTATGTCGGTTCCATATCTAGAGATGTACTGAGAGACGTTTTGCTGTACCCAGAGCTCTGCGTTGGTAACAGTGGAAGCCATAGTTGCCAAGAGATCGTTGGGGATACCGACCATGACCTGAATACCCGATTTACCAAGAGCTCTGAGTGCACCAGGGTCAGCTTCAAATAGCTTAACTTTGTTGAACCCATTGTCTCTAAGGAGTTTCACCACTATGTTTGGTGGTAGTGGATGGCTCGCTTGTGTCCCCCAGTTACATGCCAAGCCCTCCACATTCTTTAATATGTTGTGAAGTAACAATATAGATAGGCAAAAGAAAATGAGCTTTTGGTATGTATCATGACGACCCATCTCTCTGTAAAAGTGAGATTTGGGTTGGAAGATTGATTCAGAATGTGGGGTCTAATGAGAATTTGTGTTTTATGTGTGTGTACATATACAAATATAGACAAAGATATACATGTAGGAGATGGGGAAGATGAGTATATGGAAGAAAGAGGGTAAAGGAAAGGTATTTGTGTTAGTAATTCAAAAAGGAACTTGATTCCATTGGAGGTAAACCTGAATTTTAAACCATCCAAGTAAGGGAATTCTACTATTCAGCATCTCTTATGTATTTGCACCAAAAACAAACATTGTATTTTCATTTACACATAATGAGTAATCATTGATGCTAATAATAAGAGGGAGAGGGAAGAAGAAAGGGATGGAGTGTGTGAGATGAAGACAAACCTTTGCAGTTTCTTTCTTAGAGAATATTAGAAGAAAGTTTACAACCTTTTTTATTAATCCGATGGAATCTTATGACCCAAATTATCATATGATCGCAAGTCCTCATCTTAAGATTTCTCAAATTGTGCATATCATGAGTAAAGAGATGTCATAACATTTCCAATGCAACCCAGATACCACAAAATATACCAAAGAGTAACAATCTTGAAAGAAGAAAGTAATGATTGGTGTGTAGCCATTAAGATAGGTTGCAATTGCATGAATCCATGAAACCATCTTCAAACAACAAACCAACACAGAAATAGAAACTGTTTCCTCTGATATGATACTCAATGCTATAGCCTAGAAGATAGCTACAAATGAGCAAGAATCTAAGAGCAGCATTAACGGTGATATCTTAGAGATATCTTAGGATTAAAGTTGATTAAAAATAATCAAACCAACAAAATTTATCTAAGATTTGTATCTTAGTTAGGATGTTTTTGTTAGCTTAAGATGTTCATACGTGTCACTGTGTAACAGGTTCAAAAAACAAACAAAAGGAGAATGAGTAAATCTTGTTTGTTTTAGATTAGGTGAAGATCTTGAAATGCTTTAATTTGATTGTCTACATAATATTTAATTTTGTTTCATATGTCAATAGTTAGTCTTATTTTTGTTTCTGTTATTAGATCAATGTAATGCTTGAACTTGCAGTTTTTAAAATGATTGAATTTGGTAACTATGTGTTTTTCCAAGTGTTTATTTTCTAACAACCACATGTTAAGAACCTACCATTAATCACACAAAAATCTTAACCCAAAAATACTATCTCTTAACTATCACTTTTACAAATATATTACTTAAATATTCCTAAGATTTATTTCTAAGATACTACCAATAATCATGCTCTAACAGACCATACCTATTAACAGAAACAAAGCCTCAAGAACCAAAAAGGGTAAAGAATCTAACTGTTGAGTTTCGTTCTCCGGAGAGGTAAATCTTCAAACTCAGAATCCGTAAGTTGTGAATTCTTAATCACACGGCAAAAAGCACTATTCTCCAATCTACGAGCCATCATGATGATATCTCTCAACCCCTTTGGTGGAAACACACGAAGCATTTCCTGAATCTCATCCTTAAGCCCTTTAACGAAAACAGCTTCCAGAAGAGAGTCAGGGACATCCAAACACTGCGACGAGAGTTCTTCAAATTCACCAAGATAAACAATAACAGAATCAACCTGTTTGAGAGAGAGTAATCGTTCCATAACAGATCTGAAATCACCAAATCTCTGTAACAAACGAGATTTGAAATCATTCCAATCAACAAAAGGGTTACGATTCTCCCAAAGGTTAAACCAACTCAAAGCAGGTCCTTCGACACTCATATAAGCTAATCGAATCTTCTCCGTCTCTGTGAAACTACCGAACCTGAAGTATCGTTCTGCTCTGAGAATCCATGAGTTTACATTGAGACCTTCGAAATCAATATGCACTATCACAAGAGCAATGGGAGCCAATGCTGCTATTGTTACGATCACGGCAGCCTCGTCTAAATCGGTAATGTCCTTCTCCGGACTATTAGTCAATTTGCACATCCATTTATACAACTTGTCGGCAATCATAATAATTTTGTTTCTGAATTCCAGATTCTGACTACTCTTATTCAGAATGTACTGTTTTGTAGCCCTTCCTGCAGACTCTACTGTTTCTTTAACTAAGAGAGTAGTTCCCATGCTGACAATATCACCAAGATTACCGAAATCGCGACTGGTTTGGCCACCATCCAATTTTTCCATAAGTCTAATTGTAGCCATTGTCTTCTCCTTAAGCAAGATATCATTGTTGGCCAGAGACTGTCTAAGCTCATCCAATGCTTTATATGCAATTTCTGTGTCCACCTCTCTCCGCTTCAATCTTTTTGCAACATCTGCCTCCACATTTTGGGCCGTCTCTTTAGTAAAGATTCCTCCTCTTCCAAAACCAACACAGTTTTCAGTTTCATCCTCTCTCTGCTTCAATTTGTTTGCAAGACTTGACTCCGCATTTTGGGTCGTCTCATGAGTAAGGCTTTCTTTTCCAACATCAACACATTTTTCAATTTGATCTATAAGACCTTGAAATTTGTCTGGCGGGATGGAGGACGTAACAGGGAATGTCCTCTTAGTACTAAGCCATTGGTTTCTTAACAAGTATGTATATATTTTTTCAAATTGCTCAAGTACTAACACAAATTGCTCAAGGTTCGAGGTACTGCATAACAAGTACTAACACAAATTGCTCAAGTATGTATTTTTCAAAACCAACACATATGTATTTTTCAATTTTTCTTAACAAAAAATAAAAGAGAAATGACTCAAATTGCATAATCAATTTGAGTCATTTCTCATATATACATACTTGAGCAATTTGACTCAAATATGTATATATGAGAAATGACTCAAATATGTATATATGAGAAATGACTCAAATTGATTATGCAATTTGAGTCATTTCTCTTTTATTTTTTGTCAGGTCAAAACAACGAAGTGGAGTTAGTGCTCTCTCCTATCATTACTTGTTAAGAAACCAATGGCTTAGTACTAAGAGGACATTCCCTGTTACGTCCTCCATCCCGCCAGACAAATTTCAAGGTCTTATAGATCAAATTGAAAAATGTGTTGATGTTGGAAAAGAAAGCCTTACTCATGAGACGACCCAAAATGCGGAGTCAAGTCTTGCAAACAAATTGAAGCAGAGAGAGGATGAAACTGAAAACTGTGTTGGTTTTGGAAGAGGAGGAATCTTTACTAAAGAGACGGCCCAAAATGTGGAGGCAGATGTTGCAAAAAGATTGAAGCGGAGAGAGGTGGACACAGAAATTGCATATAAAGCATTGGATGAGCTTAGACAGTCTCTGGCCAACAATGATATCTTGCTTAAGGAGAAGACAATGGCTACAATTAGACTTATGGAAAAATTGGATGGTGGCCAAACCAGTCGCGATTTCGGTAATCTTGGTGATATTGTCAGCATGGGAACTACTCTCTTAGTTAAAGAAACAGTAGAGTCTGCAGGAAGGGCTACAAAACAGTACATTCTGAATAAGAGTAGTCAGAATCTGGAATTCAGAAACAAAATTATTATGATTGCCGATAAGTTGTATAAATGGATGTGCAAATTGACTAATAGTCCGGAGAAGGACATTACCGATTTAGACGAGGCTGCCGTGATCGTAACAATAGCAGCATTGGCTCCCATCGCTCTTGTGATAGTGCATATTGATCCAGTAAGCCTCTGCTCAAGTATGTATGAATCTGTGGCATCTCGACCTGGACCTTCTTCAGATGAATGACGCGAGACTTGTCTTTCTCGTCGATTGAGTTATCCACCACGGTTGTTGATTGTTGCTTTGGAGGTGCTGGGAGGTCTTCATGATTCACCGTAACTTGTGATGATGACGATGATGATGATGGTTCCGTCGGTGGTTGAAGAAGAAGTGCTGATTTCATCTCCGCCATGGATTTTAATGTCTCGGCCATGGAATTGAGTAAGTCACCCACCGTCGAGTGAAGTAGAGCCATCGTATTTTGAACTCCACGCATCGATTCAATCAGTGAATCGGCGGAATCATCGACCTGATCCAGAATCTGTATCGCTGCCATTGATACGAACAAACTTCTCCTCTCCTCTATGAAATCCCTAAAAAAATCCTCTTTTTCCTATTTCTCCAGAATTTAGAAAAAAAAAAAAAAAAGAAGAGTGGACCCCACAGTCGACGTACTCATCAAAACGACTGTGCTTCATTTGCTTCGACACTCTCATCTCCTTGTTCCTTTGCCAATGTATGTTTTCACAAGCATAACTGCATAAGGGGTAAAATTTTAATATGACTAGACTATTCTATTTGGTGGCAAGGATGTCTAAGAAATCTTTGTTGTGTATATGGCATAAAATTGCCTCCAAGTAGAGTGAGGCTTGGTTCGAGGTAGGCGCAACAACCAACCAACATATAGTGCGAATAGAGAGATAGACATGCGGCCGTACGTAAGAGGGTCAGAATTAACCATCATAATTTCACTTGTAGTAGTGTAGTAGGTTGATGGTTCATGTCTTCATATGATATATGGGGATGTTGCAACGAGTGGTGTCTGCTGTGGTTGATCAAGTATTAACACTTCACTTCCAACTAGAAAACACTAATTTGGGAACTTTAATTGTTCTCACTTTGTTACAAACCCACAAATCTAGTTAAGACGTCCCAATTTTCGCTTAGTGGATTCGCTGAAAACTCACTTAGAAGAATTTTTCATTGAATTATCAAAAATGCAAAATGGAAATGCCCAAATGTTAGGAACTGTAATTTATTTGTTTACTGGTTTGATTATCAATAGGAATATCTGATTAGAGATTCGTATGTCAAAGATTTAATGTAACATTTGCTGACGATACACAAGAAATCTGATGGTTTAAATTAATTAATATTATTATTATATTTCCTAATCTAACCCATTAAATCCCCCAATTTACAAAATTAACCACTCTCACTACGTAATTTCTATTGATCAATTGATGATCCAACTAAAATAAAAATTGAAAAAGAAAAAAACAATTATAAAATCAGACGTGAAGATCATCTCCGAAGAGGTAGAGAAGCCGTTCAACGGCCCAGCTAGGTTCGTTCTTCGCCGGCCAATCACCACACGACGTCGTATTAGCAGCAAGTAGCGGAGTTCTACAAAGAGGACATGTCCGGTGGTTATCCTCCTCAGCTTCATTATTATCATCACCACCGCAACATTCATAATCCAACCACCGGTCAATACACTCACGGTGAAACATATGACTACAGTTCCTGAGCTCTCTAACCTCATCTCCATCTTCCAGATCTCCGAGACACACCGCGCAGGTGTCGTTGATCATCGCTGGAGATCTCTCCGCCGCGTCACGGAACGTCGTCACGGAGAGGCTTTCCTTGATTGCCTGTGAAGAAATCGAAGGAGAAGCGGAAGAGGAGGAGGAAGACGCGGTGGATCTGGATCTGGATCGGTAGCGTAAGATCCATGCGAGAATCCATCTCAAGACGGTGATGAGAACAGCCATTTTGTAGAGAAGTTGAGTGACTATGAGACCAGAATGTTCGATGAAGAAGCTCATTGTTGTGATGATTTTGCTCAAGTATGTGTGTGTGTGAGAGAGAGAGAGAAGAGAGAAGGGGAGAAGAAAATGGAGAATGAGATTCGTTTTTAATAGGAGGAATAAAGCTGCTTGCTGATGAATGATGATGCTTGCTTTACTTTATTAGTGGTGCCTTTAATTTTTTTCTATTTCCATTTTAGTTTAATTTAAACTTTAAAGTATGTTTATTTTGGGTTTAATTATTTTATTATGCAAGTTGCTTGGAGGTTTTTAATATTTTACAAAATAGGTGTCAAGTTTTCAATTGTGATGATATACACTTTCTTTACTCTTCAGTCTTCATGACTAAAAAACTGTGTTAGTTTTTAAAAATAGGGAATATTCGATTTAATTATTATGCTAAAGAAATTATGTAATGGGTAAACCAATAGTATAAGATTATCTTTATTAGTCGATGAGACATAAAATTGTTGCTTTTTTTGATTAGTTTAGACGAATCATTCAAATAATTTTGAAATTTGGAGATACTCAAAAGATTCCAGTCCAAATATGGGACATGAGATAAAATATAGGGGTCATATTGTGAAAGCATAAAACAAAAGATTCTTACAGTTTTGTGCCGTGTGTGTAACGAGTGAGGGGACAAATTGCAAATCCGTAGAAGTTTTTAGAACGACGTGTGAAAATTGCAATTTCGTAAAAGTTAAAGACTATGAATGACGATAAGAATCAAGTAAATGACGTTTGCCTAAGCATTTTGTGCCGTTCGTGTCACACAACTTTAGTTTTTGCCTTTTTCTTTACCAAAGCACCCCTAAAGAGAAACATTATTTTATATTTTGTTATCTTGTTTTCTAATGGGAGATGACCATTTGATGACCATAAAGAGAGATAAGTTACTGTAGTATTTACTAATTTATGCTTAAAAAGTTTTAATGTATACTATCGATAACTTGATTGTATATGGCGTCATTTCTGGCTTTTGACCCATACGCAGGGACAGTTTTCTATCAACCTTACGTGATTATTGACCGGGCAAGATATGTTAATTTTATTTAATACAATACTTACGCTTATGTAATACCTTTTTTCCTAGTGAATGATATGGATTAATTTACAAATATTCCACATAGAGTAGATCAAATCCCATTGGTCTTTGCTTTGGTTGTCCATTTTCAGCGTGGTTTCTCGATTTAATATGACTCATACTCGACCCGAATTTCATAATCTACTAGATGAATACCCACGCTACGCGTGGGTTTGTTTTAAAAGTTGTTAATAACAAATTATTTTGATTGTTCTTATTGCTAGTTAATCACCTGCTTTACGCCGCGGTTTTTTCCGGTTTTTTTTTTATTTTGATTTATTTGATGTTATATTTTGATAAATGTAATTTTTAATTATCTAATCATTTACTCATACAATGAACAACTACTCTTAGTATTAAAATACATTTTCAACCAACATACTCAACAATGCACCACTCACACAATCCGTAAACAATCTTTCCTAAACCAATTTTATAGATGGTAATGTTGGGATTATAGAACTTCCAAAATTTGATGACCTTACGTACTATTCACCCTCAGTGTCATATATAGATCAAAAAAATAAGAGAAAAACTTACTCAAACCATTAGCTAATCCACTATACTATTATCCACTCATATTTTGAGTTAAGATTACAAAAATTAGCGAAAAAAACTTTGGAGTATATAAAACAAATAAAATAATTTCATGGAAAAAAACATAAAATAACAAAATAAGTTAGTATTAGTAAAAATCAATATGTAAAATTAAATAATATATATAATTAAATAATAAATATATTATTAACTTGTGAGATAGATTTTCAAATTCATATGGGCCATCCCTCATGGGCTATTGTGTTTTCCCCATTTGACATTTATAATTAGAAGCTGATGTGTAAAAAATAAAAGCTGACTCATATTAATGAAAGGTTTTGATTGGATGGAAAGAAAGCTGATGTGGCATCTCCAGAAGAGCTTAAAATGCTGACGTGGCGACCATATGGAGAGAGATAGTCTCCTTTCATTTATATGATTTTAATGAATATGAAAATTAATCGGGTAAATGAATATGGTATATTCATAAAATCCAATGAGTGATTTTGTATCCTAGTCACTAATAGTTTGCTTCAAAAAAATCAAATAAAAGTGGTGGCATTGACAAAAAATTGTAGTAATCAGGAGATTATCAAAACAAGACAAGGTATCAACAAAACCTTTAAGAGCTTTCTTCGTTAAGGAATATGCATTGCTCTGTCTTGATCTCAACTCAAACGAAAGTAGTAAAAATAAAGAGTTTTGAATAACAAAGTTGCGATAAAATCTTGAAACTCGAACACCTTTGGGAAGCCTAAGTTTCAACCTAGGATGACATGTCGACCAATCTAACGAATAAACGGATCAATATTATTGTTTTATCAGAATGTATAGTATATGCATTTCCATTAAATTTCTGGATAGATTGGTGCACTTTTTTTGTGTGACTTTTAACTCTTTGGTAAAAGAAATTGAAAGATATGGAACCATGAATTCAAATCAAATCATCTATAAAACAACAAAATCGAAAAACAAACATACTTTTTCTGGTAAGACGATTGATAAAAAGCTTGCGATTGTAAGGACCCATGTTTTGATCTGCTCTGCTTTATAATGTGGTTTGGTCGGCTGACCAAACTTTACAACGCTAAACCACCTCATCGTTGTAGGTGATGACTGATATATTTTTAGATATTTTATTCAAGGATGACCTACACAACTTTATCAATAGATGGGATCGATCATTCAAGTTTTTGTGGTGTCCTAAGATTTTGTATTTTTTCTTCTTTTCTACAGTTGACTGATTTAACATTCATGCGTTACAAAAAACATATATCCATTTCCTAAAACATATTTCGCTAACCCAAACGAACAATCTCAGTGAAAATTTCAGATTATATCGGATGCACGATGCAGGAAGAAGCAGAAGACCCGACCAAAAACAAATTAAAATCTTTGGAGCTAACATTTTTTTCAAAACGTCTAAATTCAAAATCAAAACAAGATTAGAAGGAAACAAAACAAAAAGACGAGTTTAAAGGAGCAAAACATTAAACATATTAAAAGGTTGTATTCTGATCCAAATCGAAAACACAATCATGAAATCTCTAGGCTCCCACCACGTTCATGTGTTTGTTTTTTCACATCCTGTCTTCTCTCCTCCTAGGAGCACATGTAATGATTTCATCCACACGCAGTATCATCTCAGATGCTTCTGTTGCTGAAAGCAGAACCGCTTGCTTCACTTTGAATGCTTCATAGATTCCTCTCTCTTCCATATCTCCTACCTGTAAAGAACCAATCATCATCATCACGATTCAAGTCTAGCCTTGCACATTCCATGGCAAATCCTAATGTTTACAAAGTTTACTTACAGATCCAGAGATGACGTCGATCCCCGCGTTACACCCTTCAGTATGGTGCTCTGCACGAAGCTGAGCAACTAATTCTGCACTGTCTAAACCAGCGTTGTCAGCGATTGTTGTCGGTATAGCAACTAGAGCACGTGAGAAAGCTTCAATGGCATGAGACTTTTTGCCAGCAGTTTTCCTTGCAAGCTCATCTACTTCCTTTGCCATCACCATCTCGGGCCATCCACCTCCAAGCAAAACTCTAGTGTCATTCACTGTTTGGGAGAGTACACATAAGGCGTCATGGAGTGATCTTTCAGCCTCATCTAAAACATGGTGACTGCAAGAACAAGGAAACCACACAAAAATTTAATAGTTAATTAGAAACAGGATAAAGTTTACACAGTCTTTTAAGTAATGGGAGTGAAATGGATACCTGGCCCCCCTTAGGACAATTGAACAAGCCTGGCCCATTTCACAACCAGAGAAATGGATCAACTTGTCTTCACCAATCATGATTTCTTCAATGAGCTTGCAATGACCAAGCTTAACAGACTCTGGGTTGTCAAAGGTCGAAGCAATTTCACCACCAGTAACCAAACCAAGACGCTCTATTCCCTCAAAGTCAGCATGCTCAATAGCAAGAATACCAGCATCTGCAAAGAGTTCCTCTGGGAAATTGTAGATCAACTGCCTGTTAACAAAGCAGTTGATTCCGTGGGCTATGATCTTCTTCACCTTGTCTTTCATCTTTTCCTTCTCAGCACCTTCAATCTCAGCAACCTTGGTCATGGAATCCACACGGACACGTGCACCATAGATCTTCACTTTATCGGTATCCATAGCAGTATTTGCTACTAAGATCTTTGCATTCTCTATGCGCTTTGGCTGCCCAATTCCTATCTTCTTGTCAAGAATAAACCTATAGGCATAGATTTAAGTTGATTAAGAAAAAATTACTGGATCGACAGAAGAAGGAACGCAGCAAAACAAGGTGACGTGATGCCTATCATCATTCCAAATTAAGACTATAAATGAAATGAAGGTGCATAAGCTAGGAAGAAGAAAAGAAACTTAAACACAACAGAGTTAGCATGACAGATGAATACCACAAAACAAAATGAATAGCTCACAGAACTGAATTTAAACAGAAAGGCAGAAAGTGTTGTCCTACCCTTCATCCAAAAAGGAATCCCTCAGGGTCCCTCCAGGTTTTTTGATGATCTGAATAGCTTCCAAGTTTGTGCTTCCCTATTTAAGCAACAAGACCAGAATGTCAGGGAAAAATCATATAACACTCCAAAACGAAACCATGGGAAAGAAATTAATAGTAAAATGCGACCAGCCTATCTCATCACAATAGTCAAAGAAAAGCTTTTCTTTCATGGAAACAACACATAAATAGCACAGAAAGAGAAGGAAGGAACACATTGCTGACTGAGTTTCAAAAAGAGGCAGAGATGGAACCTTTAGCCTGAAAACAGCATCTACGGCCATTTCTGCAAAATGTTCCTTGTCCTGTGAGAGAATTTTGGAGCATAGCGTAGTCATAGCAATCTTCAACAAGTCTGACCTAAACTTCTCTGCATTGACACAAAACACAATACTGTAAACACCAGTGTGATTTCGTAGTGGACTGTAAAAAGCACCCCTTGAACCCAACATCAAAGTAAACACACAAACAAGTGAATACAATACTTTAATCTGTCTGCATAACAAGGTTGAGCCATCTCTATATATGATTACCTGCATCGTCCTTGTTATCAATTACTCTTTTAAGTAAAGCATCACGAGCACATTCCGAAGCCATTCTGTAACCTAAGAAATCAGCAAATTTAAAAATTAGAAATCATAATGGAAGAAGCTGACACAACGTTGCCAGAAGCTTACCTGCTATGATCGTCATAGGGTGAATCTTAGAAGCAACAAGCTTTTCTGCTTCCCTCAGAAGCTCACCAGCCAAGACAACAACAGAAGTAGTCCCATCACCAACCTCATCATCTTGAACTTTCGAGATGTCTGAACATCAAACAAATTACAAGAAGAGTGAGAAAGACCCACACACAAAAAAAAAACAGAATTTGAAAACTTCAAAACAGAATGTTGCAGGAGAATGCATACATACCAACAAGAACTTTAGCTGCAGGGTTGTCTATATGAAGTGACTTGAGAATAGTAGCACCATCATTAGTAACAGTGACAGCATGACCTCTACCAGTAGATTGTAAGATTTTATCCTAAGCATAACAATAAGATTCAACAACAATCAATAGAATTGAGATTGAAAGTATAGAGCTTTTTAAATATGCAGAGATCGGAAGTTACCATGCCCTTTGGCCCTAAAGTAGACTTAACCAGATCACTGATAGCCATTGCACCAACAAATGATGCCTAAAAAAGCAACAAAAAAAAAAGAAAGTCAGATTTAAAACAGTAGAAGAGTGAATCTGAAAAACCCTAAATCCTAATCGATTAAAAGACTCACCATCCTCGCACGTTCTCCCTTCTCTTCACTAGCATCATCTTTGAAGATCTTATCGATCTAAATACGAAACAGCAAAGTTAATAGAGAGCACTGGGTAAGCAAAACAAATGAAAGAGACGACGGAGGATCATTACCGGCATCGGAAAGAGCGGAAGAAGAAGGAGTAGGCTTCTTCAGTATCGGAGATCTCCTTTGCAAGTCGAATCTGGGATCAGTGAGAAACAATAGATGGGATCGTTCACGAAGAACGAACAAGCCGAGAGGAGGATCTCGAAATATTGAGTGAGCTTTTTAGAAGAGAGTAGATATGAGGGAGAGAGCCAAAACCCAGATCTTTCGGAACCCTAAATGAAAATCTAAAAGACCAAACTACCCTAATATTTCCCAGATTCTTCTACCGTGCCCTTGGTAAAAAGTTTAAACAAAAAGGTTAAAGTTTATATTGGAAGTAAATATTTATAAATGTAATCCGTTGGGTATTTTAGAAATCATTTTAAGACGACTAAGCCCAACAGTAGTTTACGAGCCCAATGAATGAAGGTCCAAGAGGAAGAAAATTCAATGTCTCTCATCCACTTATAATTAGACACGTTTGGAGTTCCGGATAACAGAAATGAGAAAGCATGTCCCACATAAAAGGGAAAAACGACACCGTATCGTATTCGCGCACGTTTCTAAATTACCCTCTTCTTGTCGTTTATTGTCTTAGCACCACAAAAGTCAAATAAAAAAAAATCAATATCAATCGCCACGTGTCAAATTACAGGAGCTTCTGAGGAGGATAAATCTCGGAGGTTCCCGGTCTGAACGACGTGGAGACGAAGCGAAACAAAAGCATCGGAAAAAGACAGATCTACAACTTTTGAGAGACAAGCCATGAATAAGGTTAAAGATGAGCCACGCGCTTCCGTAGAAGGTGGATGTGGTGTTGCCGACGGTGACGGCGGCGCGGCTGAGATCGGCGGTACCGGATCTGTTGAGAAATCGATTAACGAAGTTAGGTATGTGCTGTGTTTTAAATTACTGTTGATTCATATGTTTTTCTTTATCTGTTTGTCCATTTGATTTGAGTTTAGTTAAATTGTATTCTTGTTTCTGATATGGAAGATCAGCATTTTTCGATCTGATTACTTTAGGATGCATATTTGAAAAAGAGGGGACTTTAGTTGCTATTTAGGGAAAGTTATATATTTCTCAAAGGAATCAATTTGTTCTTTGGCTGGAACAATTGGTTTCTTATCAATCTTCAAAGTCTTTTATGCATATACATAAGTTTTCATGTTCTTAGCTATTTCATTGTTCTTAATGTTGCATCAATAGTCCATCTTTATAGTGAGTCACCAGTTTAATAGATCCTTCTGCTATTGAAGGTCCACGGAGATCCAAACCTCTGAGCCAACGGTTCTTCCAAGTCAACTTACTATTTTCTTTGGTGGGAGTGTTACTGTGTTTGATGGACTTCCAGCAGAAAAGGTTGGTCCATTAGAGCTTTCTTGTTGTCTGAAAAGCTTCAGAATTCCTGTGCTCACTGTGATCTATGCTTATAGGTTCAAGAAATCCTCCGTATTGCTGCTAAAGCAATGGAGACTAAGAATTCTACAAGCATCAGTCCTGTCCATTCGCCAGCACTGAACAGAGCTCCTTCTTTCTCAAGCACATCTAATGTCGCTTCACCAGCTGCACAGCCATTTCCTATTCAGCCAATCTCGTTTTGCAGATCCGCGGCTGGTAAGTATTTGATTCAACTGGTTAATAGTAATCTTCAAACATTGAAAATGGATACTCTCCAGTAGTTTCTTACAATTATGTTTGCCGATTCAGATTTACCTATTGCAAGGAGGCATTCGCTTCAACGATTCCTCGAGAAAAGACGAGACAGGTATGCATCCGTTAAAACTACACTCTATCCTTCTCCATCTCACTAGAAATTCAAATCTGATCTATTTTATTCAGTTTTTGATTGATTACTAATAAAGAGCTTGTTGCTGTGCCTGAGAGAGACTTGTAAAGACAGATTGATCGTAATGTTTAACCTTGATATTGCATCTAACAGCATCATTCACTTTTTTGTTAATCTGCAGATTGGTCAACAAAAACCCTTACCCTACTTCTGACATCAAAAAGACAGATGTCTCAACACGCAATGTCTCTATCAAGGAGGAATTTCCGACTGCTTAGCAGAAGATCAAACCTCAAGGCTACAATAAGCTTTTGAGCAAACTAAGTAAAATGTTATGTCAATATGGTTAATATGATAATCTATCATGTACGCTGCTGTGTGTAATGTGTTGTATAATAGTGTCTGTATAGGTTTGCTAGACAAACCGAAGATTGTTTCCATGTCTGGAGTGGTCAGATATGTTTGTCGTTTTACAAGTCTACTGAAGAAACTATTGTAGTTTTAGTACCAGTGTCCTAGAGTCTATCTAACTAATGACTCTTTTGATGTTATGTTATTGAACTTGTTATCTCTTCAAGATACAATTTGTGTGTAAAGTAAAGAAGTCTGTGTTGTTGTTATAAGATTTCATACAAAACAAATCGAATCTATATGTAAAATGGGATTAAAAATTGTGAATGACGCAACAACAAATGGGAGATGTTTGAGTTAAAACAATGGGACTGTGCCATAACTGATTAAATTTTAAACGTACATATATTCACCTCCGCGGACAGCATTCTCTGCACCTTTCCTCTCTTCTTCGGCCTCTTTCTCCCTCTCTTTCCAGTTTTCGTATTTCTGATCGTCTGTTGGCAATTCATGGCGGCATATAGGGCAAGAGTTATGCTCGTCCTGCCACAAAACAACATGATCATAAGCTTTTTGTTCTTCCTTAATCGTAAGTCTAAAAGAATGGTTTTATTTATTTTACCAGCCAAGGCTTTAGGCAAGGAGGGTGAAATGTGTGCTTGCATGGCAACTCCTGCATTTTGTCGCCAATTACCAGATTCTCCTTGCAGATGCAACATTCTGCCTCTGCTCCGAACTTTTTAAGTAATTCCTCGCTGAAAATGATGACTGGGAGTTTCTCGACAACTTCTTTACTTGCCGGTGGAGCTCTTGGTGGTCCACCATCTTCTAGAATCTGCATAGAACACATCATATATATACCACTTTTTAATCATGAGACTACGAAAAAGACGCTACCAATACAATATTAGAGGTTGAGGTTGAATACTCTTGATACAGATGAGTGAGACAAATAGCCAGTCATATTGGAACCAAGTGGAGAAACTCAATAGGCAAAAAACAACATATTGGTAAAATGCGAATGATCAGAAATTGCTTTCATCTCATCTTTAGGTGAAGAAACTTGTTATATCAGCTATGTGTGATCGTACATAATCTAAAACTAACAAGGAAGAAAAGAGAAGGCAATACCTCTGGAATGATCATGTCAAGACCGTTGATGAGTTCTTGCATCAAGTTGGCAGTTTCCCCAAGAGTGTTTTCAGCAGGACCATTAGAGGATTCACCAGCAACGATAGAAGCGAAAGCAGACATGAGATTCTGCTGCACTAGCCACTGAGGCTGTGGCGGCTCACGATCAACCGTTAAATGTCCCTCAAAAAGATAGCCTGAAACAAATTCACAAGAGAAATAATAATCATCCCAGATACTTTTCAGTTAAAACCATAAAAAGCCAAACTAAATGTTTCACAAACCATGTGAGCTCTCTGTTGGCTGATTATCTACTTCGCTTAACTGTTCCTTAGCTTGAACAATGCAAGATTTCAAATGTTTCTTCTCAGAAGCATCAGACACAAGTCGCTCAGCCTCTTCGAAAAGACTCAGTCCAGCAACCCAAAATCCAGTAGCTGTATATCTTGTCTTAAGAACCGTAGCGACACGAGATATAACAATATAGAACTGCAATGGCCATCAAACACAAATTGTGTCACAGAGAGTAACTAAACAAACGCAGATCGGATTAAATGAAAGATCTTTGACATGAACATGAACTTTCTTCACAATTGAAATAGAAAACCAAAAAAGAAAGATATTTGATTCCTAATTCAATCCTCAAAAGTAAAGCCCACCATCAAAAATAAGCAATGAGTAAACGTCAAGGCTGGCATAAACCCTAAAAATTCCGAGCAATTTTGAATCTATTGGTCCGAGAATCTAAGAATGAAACCAACCTGTTTGCGGAGAGAAGGAGAGGAAGAAGAGTAGTGATCACGGAGAAGATTATGAATAGAACGAACGGATGCTTCGAATCTAAGCTTTTTGTTCAGCTGTTTCTGAAGATCATCCAGCTCAAGCTTCAAGCTTTCCTCGGAAGGAGACGGTGAAGACGATGCATCCATTCAAAAAATTTAATTTCTAAGAGTTAAGGAGAATTCTTAGGGGTTTTGAAAGAATTGGGGAGTTTGTAAGAATGATGGAAATGAAGAACAATCTCTTGTCTTCTGGGATTTTTGTAGGAGACGAGTTTTCTTGATCAGGAGGAAAGGACGAAGTCGGTCGGTTTTGCTTAATCTAGTTCAGTTCGGTTTCGTTCGGTTCAAGACCATAAGAACAATCGGTAATTAACGATTGTTCGGTTTGGTTCGGTTCGGTTCGGTTCCAAAACATTTGGTTTCTAACTTATCCGATAAACCGATCCATCCAAATTACATTAGAACTAGATCTTTTTTTTTTTTTTTTTTTTTTTGTCATCTGAAATTAATTAGAGCTCAAAAGAGCCATTCCTGTGGAATGTTGTTTACAAATGTGATATGAAGCGGTTCTGTACGAACTTTTCGTGCCAGATGATCCGCTTTTACATTAGCATTACGAGAAATTAAAGATAAAGAGAAGGATGAGAATTCTTCCTTGTCGCTATGAAATTCCTCCAAGTACACTGAAAACGCCGGCCATTCGGTTGGAGAAGACACCATCTTAACCAGATCAGAACAGTCTGTAAGGAACTCTACCTCTTGATTATCTGCACCTATCATACACTTCATCGCCCAGAGCAGGGCCTCGAACTCGGTATGTAATGGAGATAAACTTCGACGGAGATTTGCAGCTCCCATGGTTGGCGGCTCTCCGTTTGATGATGTACAGAACCATCCTGTACCGGAGAACTTATCACTTTCTTTCCACGATCCATCCACAAAGCAACGGTATCCTGAATAAATTGATTCAAGTGCAGTATTCCCCACTCGAGACCGATTAACCAATTCCACAGTACCATGAGTTTCATGATGAAGCTCAATTTGGGCAGACTGCCACAATTGTGCTTCTTTTTCCGCTAACCGTAATACCTCTAACGGATCTTTATCAATATTTTCAAATATTTTTTCATTCCTTGCTGTCCATATATACCAGATAATCCATGGAAATTTATTCATTTCATTCTTTTTTCATTAAAATATTTTTTCATTTCATTCTTTTTCATTAGAACTAGATCATCACCCGTACTTTTAGTACGGGTTGAATTTTATTTATAACAAAATTTATATAATATATATATTAGAACTAAGTTTTAATATATTATAATAGTAAGTAAAAAAATATTAATTTTTTTGTCAGTCCCTATATACAATATTAGAATAAATATAGAATTTTTTCTATAATACTCAATTATGGATAATTTTTTTTTAAGATATGAAAACGGAAAATAATTTTATTTTTTAAAAAGTAATATTTTTTTGAACAATGAGTTAATTTATGTTAACAACCACAAAATAAGATTGCATATATTTCAGTTAGATCAAAAATTAAAATATCATAAATGAATCGCATATAAAACATAGATTATTTTGAATTAATTAAGAAAATTAGTTATTATATTGAATTAATTTAGAAATTTTTTTTTCAATTTATAATTCTTTGGTTGTTGAAATAGAGATTTGTTTGAGCTAATCTAATTACAGAATTTGTTTGAGATTTATAATTACGAAATTTACCAATTATTCGCATAATCGAATATGTTATAAACATATATTTAGTATAATAATACCAAAATCAATCCGTGCGTGGAGTCTATATTTTTATTTTAAAATCTCAATATTTCATTTTAAAATATTACGTGCACAATCTATTATTCGTTAATTCTAAAATTGCTTGCGGAATCAAATTTTCAAATATTTAGAGGTGTCAAACAATATTTAAATGTTCTACACTATTTTTAAATATTCCAAATTAAAATCTTTAATTTTTTTTTGTAGTTTATAAAATTATGAATTTCAAAAAACAAATTATATGAAATTAAATATAACTATTCAAATAGTTATAAGGATCAAAACTCATTTCATCATATAATATATTATATTTAACCCGCTACCTATTATAAATATTTTTAAAAATAATCAAATTAGAGTATTTATAATTTTTAACTTTTTGAACTATTAAGTATTGATGACATTCTCTAAAAATATCAAGTAAAACTTATTTTAAATGTTGCAAATTAAAATATTTAAATTTTTATTGTAGTATATAAGATTATTCATTTCAAAAAAATAAATGTATCAAATCGAATATAAATATTCAAATTCTGACCCGTTGCTCAGTCGGAATTTTTGTTGACTTTATTTATGTGTAAAAGAAATATATTACTCAAGTCTGAATTTTTGACCCGTTTAATTGTTTTCTTTATAGATTGAACAATTTATATGCGTTTTTAAAAATTCAAATCTTGACATATGCAAAAAAAAAAATACTTTTTTTTATTATGTAGATGATATGATGATTTATTTGTTTCATATTAATATAATCATATAAAGATGAAAGGTGAAGTTTAATGATTAATAACAAATTAATATGGTAAATTAGATATCAAATCTTATATGTTCATTTTGATTGGTCATTTAAAAAAAAAAAATAACAGATTTTCGTTTTATAATATAATTAAAATAATTAAATGACATAAATTAGTATTTTACTTGTTTATCCTTAATAAATTGAATGAAATTTGTTCTAAAAGAAGATTTTTGTAATGGCATTCTTAAGTAAATTCTTACAAAAGAGAAGGTTAGTTAAGGGTATCTTATAAAGTGTACTCCCCAAATAATAGTATAGGATAATTGATCCAAAAGCTGAACCTCACCAACATCTCTAAAAATGAAGATGGAACAGCTTTGCATGAAATTATGGTTTAAATGTAATTTTAATGTGAAAAATCGAATTTGCATTTAAACAATTTTTCTTTTTTTTAATCAAAACCTTATTTTCTTGGAATGCTTGTGACTGTTAACAATTGGTATATTGTAACCACGCTTTAATTTGAGATGTTAAACACAAAGCCTCATTAAGAATGTTGAACTAAGAATGTTATATCAGAAACGCATAATGAAACAGACGCGAGCTTTGAACCTCACCAACATCTCTAAAAATGAAGATGGATCAGCTTTGCATGAACAAGAACATTGACACAAAAAAAGAAGTCCATGGATTTACTAAATCGACCTTCAAGTTGACCACATGAACCTGACAGAGTAAAAAGGTTTTGATCCTATCCCATTTTTAAAGTCAAGTCACAATCTGGTGATTCTTGATCATATTCCAAAACAACAAAAAAAACAAGAAAAGTATTCAACTCATAAATTCATACAGAAGCAGTAGAAGAGAAGCATAGCTCCGACTCCATAACAAGCTCACTTCACCTTCTAATTTCTCAAGTCTTCCTGCGACTAACACGAGCAACAAACCCTGTTTTGATCGGAGCCACAGATCGTTGAGAGCCACACTGCAAAACCATGTAGCCCATTCGTTAATCACATTAGCAAATTGAAATACACAAGATTGAGCATAGCGAAAAAATAATCAACTCATTCTAGGCAAATGATATCAACATCTTCGCACGACACTCCAATTTAAATAAGAAAAGTATATTCCTGATGAGTTTATCCAAGAGAGGTTAGGGCCGTATCAATTACAAGACAAAAAAAGCACAAAACAATTTGGTTCGATTATTACCAGCCCAAGTATCTTTAGAAAATATAACATATATAAGCTACTCTTAGAATTTTCATTTCTCCATTATATGATAAAGATGATGTAGGCAAGAAAACATGTTATTATGTAGTTGCGCAGAAAGTAAAACAGAAACAAAGGAATGCATATCAAGATAAGGACTAAAAAGATTAAGTTATACCTTTTCACATCTCAGAAAGAAGAGACGGTTCTCCTTCGAGAGAATTGTGTCTGGGCTCTTGCAACCAAGGCAAATGACGTAGTCAGCTGAAAATAATAACCAAGCGGTTAACAACTCCAAATTGATATTCTTTTATGGCAACTCAAAATTTTGAGACTACAAAGAAAGATACTTACTGATATACCGTCGCAAAATTCCTTCAAAATTCTTAGGTGCAAACCTTCCCTTAACAACCAACCTTTGCTGCCCATCAAGCGAACCACTAGTACCCAACTCAGCAAGCAAGTATTGCATAACATGATCTGGTTGACGATGCATCCTGATTTTTTATATGGAGATAGTCATGCAGTCATCAAAATTAATAGGTACTATTACTTGTGGTTAAATGAAAAAGTTTGAAGAGGAAGATAAAGGGTTTGCTCATACGTCTTGCAAAGGTCCATGAAGTTGACAAAGACAGTCTTCTTTGTCCCCTCACGAAGAACTTGAGGAGGCCTCATAACTGTACGACGCCTATCTCCAGCAAGCTCCGGATTATTCTCACGGAGAATGTTAAAGACTCTACCAAGAAGCTGCAGATATAACTGCCGTCAGCAAAAACCAGGGTGCGAGAGATTTTTACAATGACTCAAGGACAAATAAAGATTAATATTTTTCACAACCAAAAAACGTTGTAAATCAATACGGTTTAAAACAAAAGAAACCATCAAAAATATACTAACCTCGTCATATATGTAATCCCTCTCACTTCCCTCCCAGGGGTAACGTTGCTGTAGAACTGTTCCTTCTTCCCCCTCTTCCTCTTCATTAGCAAGATCTGCAATATATTCTCGGTAAGATTCAACAGGATAAAAATCATGCCAAGAAAAAAGGTAATTAGCAAAAAAAATTAAAAATACCATCCAAATCTTCTCCAGCATCAACACTTTCGTTGTTCAATGCGCTTGATTCAGCCTAATGATCAAACAAAAACAATGTGAGGCACAGAATCATACAATACACAAGTTAAATGACATAAAAAACATAGTCGGCACAAAACGTAAAACACTACTCACTGGCTTCTTCTTCTTTTTCTTCATTCCAGTAAATGAACTCTCAAGACCATCATTAACTGAAAAAACAAGAATTAGACAAAATAACACAAAAACCATTGAAAATTAAAACAAAATGTTTCACATCACACTGAATCTTCATCATACCAGGCAATGAATCAGATTTCTCCGTCTGTGACGACTCTGCTAAGTCCTCAACAGGTTCCTGAATCACAACCTTCTTCTTCTTTTTCTTCTTGGATGGATCAAAGGGTGCGAGCTGCTGTAAAAGGATGAACCAAAACATAAAAACCATTCAATCATGACTTTATCAAACAAAAAGAACCAAACTCTTTATCATAATTTACACAAAAAAGGGAAAAATCAAAAAAAAAACTTACTTCTTGCTCTTCCCTTATCTCATTGTTTTCATCAGCCATGATTGCAACTGAGATAGAAACGAAAACATACAATGATAATAAGCACTCACAAACCAAATAAATATATTAGAATCAAAATAATCTGTAAGAACGATGAGCATAGGCAAGTCTGAAATTAGGGTTTCTAAATCAGAGCGATAATCGCAACGTCAACGAAACCATAACGAGATTCAGAACAAATTTTCAATTCCCAATAAAAATCAACCCAAATAAATCTAGGACAAGGCTTCAAATCAAAAAAGGAACAGCTAGGTTTTACAAATCTCTCTAAACATTATTATTCCAAAACACGATTTGCTTATGAGATCCGACCAAAAGAATTCGAAAAGGGATCGAAGAAAACTCACAAAGGAATGTAAAAGCGCTAAGATTGGCGTAGAGAGTAAACAAGGTTTGCTTCGGGCGGAATCTGAGAGAGTAAGCGGCGCAGGGCTTGTTTTAATCTGAGATAAGAGTTAACCCTTGCTCGTCCAAATAATAGTCACGAATTGTAACTTTTTTTTAATCAATAGTAAAAAGTCTATAAATATTTCATTTTGCCAAAAAGTTAATATTACATTTTACTTTTTTTAACGCAATTGAAATTTATCAAATTAAAAACCTTTTTTATTCTATAAAGTAAATTTGAAAATTGAAATTTATTATTTTATAAATGTTTTAATTAATTAAAAATTGAAATTTATCAAATTAAAAACTTTTTTCTTATAATGAATATTTATTTCTTAAGCTATGTGAAAAGTAAATTATATAGAATATGTTATTAAATATAAATGAAACCATTACAGAAAGAAATCAGAATATATAGCATATCTTATTTTACTATAAATTACTAAATTATATGATTTTATTATTTAATATATTAAGCTCTCTATTTTATAGATAACATTACCAATAATAATATAAAAAAACTAAGTTGAGGTTCAAAATCTGAACTTAAGAAGATGTGATATATATACTATTTATTATTATTTTAAAATATACACTTTTTTAAAGAAATTTCAAACTAATTTACGCGCATTATTATTTCCTAATTGATAAAAGATGGTTTGAATATCCTCTAAATATCTTCGAAAGGATGGAAAGAGAGATTAAAATTTAAAATACTGATGTGTAATTGCGAGAACATTTGTTTCCTTAAAAACTAGAAAATTAAAAGAAAATTTTAACATTATAGATTTATAGCACCAAAATTAGATATTATAATTCTTTTTTTTGGTTTTTGTGTTAAAGTTTTAAACTAAAATTTGCATGGGTAGCATCTAATATTGTTTTAAACTTTTAAATAATGATCAGATTTTCTAATTACAGAAAAAATACATTTGATGAAATACCTAGCATGTAATATGCCTCTCCAATAAATAGTCGGACCTATGGTAACCTAATGGTTAGAAATAGAAAGGTTTTGTGCAAACCAATTTTATAATTTTACCTTTCATGCTAAAATAATACAGATTATCCATCAAAATTTTATAAACTTGACGACATCGAAAAGAATTTCATTGCATATTATATTTTTGAGTTCGTATGATTAATCTCGGATCAAATAAAAAATAACTTCGAGTGGTCAACCGATTAGGACACCAAATAAAAAGAAAAGGGAAAAAGAGGAAATTTCCCAAATTAACACCCATACCTATTATACTCAAACCTCAGATTATATAATTAGGCCAAAATCTGATAAACCAAAAAATGTTTCAGAGTGAGTGCTAAAGAGAACTTTGTGTTGACCCCTCTCTTTCCCTCCTAATTCCTTAGGGTTCCTCGAATTTCTTTTTCACCGAAACACAACCTTCTCTCTCTCTCTATCTTTCTCTGTACGTTTTATTCACTTTCCTCCACGTGGATTTTGCATAAAAGCATGAAAATTTGTTGATGGGTTTCTCTTCTACATCCAGATTCTAGCTTCCAATTCCGTAAAAAAACCCTAATTTTTCGAAGTTACTCTGATCTGTGTAGAAGAATTAGGGAGTGAAGTGTCCGCAAGAGTTTGGCAATGTCGGATGACATGGTGATGCATTTCTCCTCGAATTCTTCCAATCAGTCGGATCACTCTTTGCCCGACAAAATCGCCAAGCTTGAGGCCCGCTTGACTGGTAAGACCCCTTCCTCGGCGAAGCCACCACAACTGCAGCAGCACCAGCAGGTCTCTGTCTGGTCATCTGCTTCTTCTACCGCTGTCAAAGTCGTGACTTCCACACCCCCTGGATTGTCGGAAACCTCTATCAGTGATTCCGATGACGAGGTAGCTTCAGATGTTTTGTGACCAGAATTCAAATTTTTATGTCTATGCTATGATTATTGTGCATCTCTGAGTTTGTTGGTAATTCACTTATTCTACTTGCTGTTGATGTCCTTATCCTCTATACATCCTTGGATTGATCATTGCTTTGTGCATAACAAATATTGCTCAAAGTATTATGCAATGTTGGCTACATATCCTGGCATTCTATATTTCTTTCTTGAACTAGAAATACAGTCCCTTTTTAGCTAGATCTCATTCTCCTTGTTACTGTCTCAGAATACTGGAGATTTCCTAATCCGAGCGAATACCAAAAAGCGCCAGAAAGTTCAAGAGTCTAGCAACTTCAGTGTTGTTGATCATGTTGAGGTAGTGATTTTTCATTTAGTCTCTTTTAGTCTCTTATCAGGTTGATGTTTTTTATATAAAATCTTGGTGTATGTTGTTGTATAAGGTTTCTATGTGATACTGAAATAGCTTATTATGATGTAAGTTTTATTACTTATCAACTTATAATGAAGAATATTATTGAATTGAAGCCCCAAGAGGCAGCATATGATGGAAGGAAAAATGATGCTGAGTCCAAGACAGGCCTTGATGTAAGTAAGAAGAAACAAGGTCGAGGTCGGGCTTCGTCAACTGGTAGAGGGCGTGGTTCTAAAACTAATAACGATGTGACAAAATCTCAGTTTTTGGTTGCACCAGTATCAGCTGCAAGTCAACTGGATGTCTCTGATCAAAAGGTTAATATTGTTTACCTCATCTGACCTTACATGGAACCACTCTTCTCGTCATCGAGGATTTACATATATTAGACTTAATTTCAATGACAAAACGTGGACACAATTTTTATGTTTTCCTGAAGTAAAACCTTTTAATTGGCCTGTGTGAAAAAAATTAAGCAGGACAAGAAAGAATTACTATGCATTTTCCTACTTTTTTTGCTGAAGCGAATCTTTATCTAGATTTGCATTGATATTGGTGACCAGACGCAGTTTATCAATGAATATTCTGCATTTTATTCTCCAGGATTTTAGGCCTAATGGACAGCTCAGGAATGGTGAATGCTCTCTCCAGGATGTAAGTTTCTTTTATAATGTCTTTTACTCTGTAATATCGGAGAATATGTTTTTGTCTCATTGCCGAGGACTAAGCTACATCTTCTAAGTTGGTTAGAATAAGTGAACGGGATTATTATATATGATTATCCTATAACAATGAAACCGCACAGTTATATCTCTCTTTATTCACTATTTTGTTCCTTTTTTATAAATCAGGAAGAATTGACATCTTTGCGTGCAAAAATCGCTGTGCTGGAGGAGGAATTGCGTAAATCTCGACAAGATTCTTCTGAGTATCACCACCTTGTCAGGAAGCTTGAGAATGTATTGTGTGAATGCCTTTCAGATTTAGCCAATCCTGCTTATGCTATTACCATTTTTGTCTATTCCCATTCCCCTGCCCTGCTAATAATCCTAGTAATGATATATGCAGGAGGTAAAAGATGTGAAAGATCAGGAACTACAAGGGAAGCAAAAGGTACGCAAACTTTTGTTTTCGTGTCCTAATAGATTATTGAGAACTTTTATGATCTTTTGTTAAATTTCCCACCTACTATGGCATGGTTACTTTACTGTTCTCAATGATATTGGGAGAATCTTAGAGTTATAAACATTTTTCTCCATAAGAAGCATGGTAGTCTCCTTATTTGCTTTGATTGCACACTAAATTTATTGATGTTGCTGCTGCTAGAGAACTGAAATATCTGTGAAAGCTTGGATCTTGCAATCGTCTACGTTACCTATATCCATTTCCAGTGAGCTCTTTTCGCAAAGCATTTAGTAGTATTTCTTTAGGTAAAAATAATAGGCAATCTATTGCGGATAAGGCGATTTAGGTGCATTGAATGTAGAACCAAATTGTAACGAATAAGGATCAACATTTTGGCCTTTTAATCACTCATAGTGAACGAGTTTTTGAAAACGAACTGGGTATCTTCATATCAGCTTGGTACTTAAATTGGCAGAAACTTTTGCACTCCCTCTAGCAATATTCCTATTAGTGTAATGAAGAAATTATCAATATTTTACGGCTGCTTCTCTCTGATATTCTTAATAACTAATGCATTCTTATGCAACATGCGGAATTATTTGGTCTAAGGTAACAGTGCATTTACTAACAGCAAGCTTTGAACATTTCTTTTTCTTGACGCAGACAACTAAAGTAATCTCTGACCTTCTCATATCTGTTTCCAAAACTGAGAGACAAGAAGCAAGAACGAAAGTCAGACATGAATCTTTGCGATTAGGCAGTGTTGGTGTTCTCAGGTCGGCCATTATATATTTATAATTTTCTATGAGTTCATAGTATTTATCCTGTATATCCTTCATTTCTGTGATCATTTACACAAGTATTGAGAATATATTTCACGAGGAGGTATAATAAAAAACATGTATAGCAAACAAAAATTTGCTTTAAGGAAAATCATTAAACCAACTCGAATAGAGTTTTAGATAGACGTTATTTTTACATTTCTCTATAACCGCAGCTCTCTTCTTTGCTAAGTTACAAGGTTAGTTCTTGATTTGTGATCAAAATTTAATCCATGCGCTGTGTGTCTATTTTGGTGATTTCAGGACAGGAACGATCATAGCTGAGACATGGGAGGACGGACAAATGTTGAAAGATCTGAATGCTCAACTTGTAAGTAGCTATGTAGCGAGGGATTTTTATCAAACTAATACCAATAATCTTTGAAGTAATTGTACTGATTTTTCTATAAATTTGCAACGAGAAGAGACAACTGCTGGAAACCAAGGAGGCTATTGAGAGACAAAGAAAGTTTCTTAAGAAACGACAAAATGGTGGTATGTTATCCCAGTACTTTTTTAGTTTGTCAGTGAACCCGTGATCTCATGTAATATATGTTGTGATTTTTTCCTTGTGCAAATTGTTATGATGTTTAGCACCCTTTGTTTTTCCATTTGGGTGTAGATAAGAATGACGGAACTGACACAGAATCAGGAGCACAGGAGGAAGATATCATCCCTGACGAGGTTTACAAGTCTCGTCTTGCTAGTATCAAGCGGGTATGTTCCTCCTTATGCATCATCTCAGCTTCTTGTTTCCTCAATGTTGATATGGTTCTGGTTTTGTATCATACATCTATTGATTTCACCTTTCAGGAAGAGGAAGTAATTTTGCGTGAGAGAGAAAGGTACACATTGGAGAAGGGGCTGCTTATGAGGGAGATGAAACGCATACGAGATGAAGATGGTTCTCGTTTCAACAATTTCCCAGTTTTGAATAGCCGATATGCTCTTCTAAATCTTCTTGGTAAAGGCGGATTTAGTGAAGTCTATAAGGTCAGAACATTGATAGATACTACATTCTTTTACATGTGAGAAATATTTTGCAGTAATTTGATGTTACATATTTTAAGCAGGCATATGATTTGGTGGACCATAGATATGTTGCGTGCAAGCTTCATGGTTTAAATGCTCAGTGGAGTGAAGAAAAGAAGCAAAGTTACATCCGCCATGCCAACAGGGAATGTGAGATCCATAAAAGTCTTGTGCATCACCACATTGTTCGGCTTTGGGATAAATTTCATATCGACATGCATACATTCTGCACCGTTCTGGAATACTGTAGTGGTAAATCAGAATTCTCTTATCTCTTTGTAGATTCTGGAGTACAGTTCTCAGTTGTCACCTCTTATGTTTGAATTTCTAATGCAGGAAAAGACCTTGATGCTGTTTTAAAGGCAACACCTAATCTTCCTGAGAAAGAAGCGAGGATTATTATTGTGCAAATAGTTCAAGGCCTTGTATATCTGAACAAAAAGTCACAGAAGATTATCCACTATGATCTGAAGCCTGGTAATGTTCTCTTTGATGAGTTTGGAGTAGCAAAAGTGACTGATTTTGGTCTAAGCAAGATAGTGGAGGACAATGTTGGTTCTCAAGGAATGGAGCTTACATCACAGGGAGCTGGAACATACTGGTGAGCAATCTAGTTTTCTTCTCCTTGATATGGTCTATATTATTTTTGTCTCTTGTACTTCCAGACATCTTATAGCTAACTAGGTTCTATAATATAGGTACTTGCCCCCAGAATGCTTTGAGCTTAACAAAACTCCTATGATCTCATCAAAGGTCAGTGATTGGTCAATGATGTCCTAATCAGATTATCTTATAGAAGTTTCGTGGTACTAAATTGTGCTGAAACTCAGGTCGATGTATGGTCAGTTGGTGTTCTGTTTTACCAAATGCTATTTGGAAAGCGACCTTTTGGACATGACCAAAGCCAAGAACGGATACTACGAGAAGACACAATCATTAAAGCCAAAAAGGTTGAGTTCCCAGTAACAAGACCTGCCATCTCAAATGAAGCGAAGGTAAACTAACTGTACCTGTCTTAAACCTGGTTTAAGTAAAGTAGTACCAAATGCACTTGAAACTGTATCTCCATGTTCTCACTGTTGCATTTTCTGCAGGAATTGATTCGACGGTGTCTAACATATAACCAGGCAGATAGGCCGGATGTTCTAACAATGGCACAGGATCCATATCTTTCCTACTCTAAGAAATGAGAGTGTGTAGTCTTCACAAACAAACCAGAGATACTAAAGGACCAGATCCTAGAATTCTTTTTGGTATAGATTACAAAGTTTCTGTTTTGTTTGTCTAAATATTTTATCTCCTTTTAGGGTGAATTTAATTTGTCTGTCTTCCTTTTATTATGTAACATGTTATGTATATTCTTCATGTTTTATAATAGAAGAAAGCTGAAAGTTGGAAACAGGCTCCATTTCATTCTTGCTTCTCAGGTTTAAGACAAAATATGAAATGTGATCATTTTGAAGAAAATAAGAAAAGAAAACGACTCCGGTTGGAGACTACCGGTACTAAGCAAAACCGAAGAGTAAACCAAGACAAAACCGAAGATTAAAAACCATTGGCTTGCAAGCAATTAGTACGAGACAAAAGTCTACTTATCCACTCACACCACGAAAAAACTCACACTTGCTTGCTTCTTCTTCCATGGCTTTATCCTTTGTTTCTTCAACTAGACTCTCCAAGATGCAATATGGCCTATGGTACAGTGGATCCTTCACGCCACGGATCAGTGTGAGATGCTGTGAAATCGCAAACGAGCCTCCACGACCAAAATCGAAGCTCCAAGTCGGATCACCAATCATCATCGTTGAAGCCCCCAAAGTTATAAAAACGGCCGCTTCAATGCCTTGTCTTAGGGCTAACTCTGGCTTGGTCAAGCCTGGCGATGTTGGAAGGTCTTCTTCTTCATCCAAATTCCTATTTTATACAAACTAGTAAATTTTAAGACAAGACTCAGACTAATCATCCATGTTTTCTTGCCAGTTATACTAGCTTTATTTACTTGTCTTTTTGTTATTGTTTTTGCAGAATCGTGTCGAGAAAACCGAAGGACTTGTGGGCAGTTCGACTCTCCATTGGAACTTATCTATTAGATGGTAAATATTTCAAAGCTTTAGAGCTTGACGAAGGAGATAGTGATTGACGTCATGTCTCACGTAAAATTTTCACATTTAACTATATCTTATATAAATTTTAGGATATATATATATATATTTTTTTTTTCTTACTCTATAGTCTCTCTAAAACTGCTTAATAAGCTATATCAAATATATTTTTAAGGAGAGCCTGTCATGAAAGCTTCTAAAATTCAACCATCTAAATGGCTAAAAACACCAACCAAAACATGACTTAATAATTCGTAGTAATGTCGTTTCTGTGTGTCATCTAGATTCAAACTCGGTATAATGCATGTTATTGAAAAGAAAAGAACAAAAAAAAGTTAAAAAATGGGTAGGAATGAACAATTCTAAACCGAAATAAAAAATCAGAAATTCCGATTAAAAAATACGAATTATTATTTTATTTGGCGCAACAATGTATTAACCGTAGTCGAATAAAACCGTTAATTTGGGTTAGTGATCAACCCGAATCCAAACGGGTACAACGGGTCATAATGCGGGTCATCAACGTTCATCGGCAACTGATCCACTGTCTTGAACCACGTCCGAGCCAATTTCCCGGTGAATCCATAATCTCCGAACAAAACATCAGCCACTCCTTGACCTTCCGTTCCCGGTAGCCACGCCGCCACTAGAGCATCGATGTTCGAAATGTACGGCTGCATCACCACCGGACGTCCCGATACAACCACCACCACACATTTCACCGATGCGCACACGTTTTCGATTGTGCTCGGACCTGGTTCTGATATGGTTAAGTTCGTGCTGTCTCCGGATCCCTCCGCGTACGGTTTCTCTCCGATGACCACGATTGCGTAATCGAAGTCGCCGGACTTGACGAAATTGGTGTCGGGGTTTTGATTGTAGATAACTTGCGTCTTCGGATCCACCGTGTTCTTCACCGCGGCGAGGATCGTTGTTCCTGAAAAATTCAATTTCAGATTGGTAAATGTTCTTCTCAATTCCAGATTCTATCTGATACTTATTGTTGCATATTTGAATTACAACACACAACAAATGGTATGAAAATGAATCTTGAAGCATGTATGTCACTTGTGGGAATTTGAGAAACCCTAATGTTCTTCTATATGATGATGATTCATTGGAATGGAATGAGGAAAGGTGTGTGTACCAATGGTGAGATTGTTGCCATTAAGACCTTGCCATGTGATTGTCCAGCCACCACATTGGTATCCCAAGTTATCAGCGTGTGTTCCTGCAACAAGGATCTTGTTGGCTTTCTTTGGCAGAGGAAGCAACGGCTTATCCGCATTTTCGCCGTTCTTCAACAATACCATAGACTTCCTCACTGCTTCCCTTGCCAGTTCTCTGTGTTCCTGTTGAGTTTGTTCAATGTTAAGTTGGGGTCTCTATCTTAAAACTGTTGTTTTATTTTACATACCTTACTACCGAGCTGGTTGGCCAAGCTATGATCAGCGATGGGATTCTCAAAGAGCCCCATTGTGAATTTGACTCTTAAGATTCTCTTCACGGCATCGTCGATTCTGCTCATCGGGATGAGTTTTCGCTTCACCAGACTGGTTAGCTCGTCGATTAATTTGGTCAAGTTTGACGAATCCATGAACTGCATCGAAAAAGTTTAATCACATCATGTGTGTTTATATATCTTTGAAAATAAGAACCATTTCTGAGACTGACCATATCGAGTCCAGCAGTGATAGCGGCATACACAGAGTGTGAATAGTTAGCACCAAGAGGTGTGTTGATCTGATCAACACCTAGATAATCCGAGATGACAATGCCCTGCAAAGAGATTTAAAATCTTTATCATTTCTCTGCTTTGCTTTAGCCGGATTCTTCTATGATTAAAGTTACCCTGAACTTGAGCTTGTTCTTGAGGAAACCCGTGATAAGTTTCTTATTGGCATGCATTTTCAACCCGTTTATGGACGAGTAGGACACCATAACTGTCGCAACGCCCTTTTTTACCGCATCGTAATAAGCTGGCATGTGAATGCCCAGCAATCCATTTGTATTAATAACTGTGTTATTCGCGTTCATCCCTCTCAATGTACCTCCATCTCCAACAAAGTGTTTAGCACAGGCTGCAACTTTGGTCCTGTAAGTTTACCCAGTTATCTGTTTAACTCCATGAATCTTTGCTTCTCTAGATATTCAGTAAAGTGTACTTACTTTCCAGCGACAAAAGGAACACCCTTTTGACCGGTGGGAATGTCACCTTGCAAACCTGGTATGATTTCAGTCATCTGTTGAACGATTTTGTGATCCTCACTATAGCTCTCATAGCATCTTCCCCATCTAGGGTCCCTACACACCTGTTCAAAGTGATTAATTACAACAACTATGTTTCCGCTTTTATTCAGACCAGATTTTACTTACTGCAATGCATGGAGCAAAGACATATTGGATTCCTGTTGCTCTAACTTCAAGCGCAGTTGCTTCACCAATTCTCTTCACAAGGCCAGGATCCCTAAGAGATGAATACAACAGTAAAGACACTATGTTTTGGGTTTATCTATTCATTTGGAATGGGATTCTCTATAAGAACTTGCCTGGTGACTCCGAGGCCTATGTTATGTGGGAAAATGGTGGCGTTATACACGGTGTTGTGACCATGAACAGCATCGATCCCGTAAATTATGGGAATACCTAAGCGGGTTGAAAGAGCTTTCTTTTGGATCTCATTCACCATGTTCACCCAAGCTTCAGGACTGGCATATGGCGTCGGCACACTCCCTCCCCCGCTAAATACACTCCCTACAAACATAATTCCGTAACTCTTGAGTATTCAACTATTTATATAGGTTTTAACAACGTTATGAAGGTCCAGAATCATACCGATGAGGTATTTTTTCATGACTTCGGTTGTGGCATTGGCGCGTTCAAGCTGAACCATCTGCCCGATTTTCTCTTCAAGGGTCATATGGCTCATTAGGTTCTTGATCCTGACTCCCAATGGCTCTTTTGGGTCCTTATACTTGGCGTTCTCAAGTGGTTCTTTATTAGCTGCCACAGTACAGCAGAGCAGAAGAAGCCCTAACGTTTGTAACAAGTAACTCGAACTCCTCATCTTTGCCCTCTCCTTCACTCTCAATAAAATAGTCAAGAGCTGATTATTGATTAACCAGTTGAGAAGGGGAAGACGATCAAGCGATATGATGACGACAACAACGATGAGTATGATAAATATTACAGTATTTCGAATGAGATAAGGAACATATGAGGTTGAGATTTTGTCTATATGCCTTGTACTTGGGTTGTTTTGCTTGTGAGATTATGTAGAGTGACGTGTGATACCATTTCCGTGACTAGAAGAACATCAAAAACAAATTAGATTCTCTCTTTTTTTTCAAATAATATAATAAAATAAAATCTGAATAAAAGTAAATTGATTCTATTTTGGCAAAATAACATACTATATATATTAGCTTCTTGTAGTAACTAATTTTTTTCTTATGAAAGTAATCATTATTTCTCTATTTTCCATATACATATAATTGCAAATTATTTGTTTCTTTTCTTTGTGAGATTTGTTTTTTTTTCTTCTTTATTTGTTTCATTGAAATATGTTTTTTATTTGCTTGTCGCTTTGTTGAAATAGGTTGGACTTTACTTACACTTCAAAAAAATTTCATCTTTTTTTAGATGAATATTTTTCTTGCAAGTTTATGTTGAATTTTGATTTTGACACTAAAATTAAAAAAAAATTATTTTTTCTTTCTTTTTGTGAACTTTGACATGGTCCCTTTGCAAAAATGCACACCTGCACATGTCTGGACACGCCCTGCATGTGGCATAGTCTCATCTTGGATTTAAGAGATACCAATATACATTACCCAAATGTTAGCTATCTCATCAAATGGAACAAAACACAGATTCATAAGGGCAAATAACAAAAGCCGATTCATATTATCGCTGTTTATAACACACTAGTTTTGTAGACAGACAATGTCAAAGTCTCAACTTAAATTTGAGCTAAAACCCACAAAATTGTGCATCTAGATTATTTCGTTGGGTCCCTTAATATCTTCCTCTCCCTTGCCGAATAATTAAAAGTGAGTCTACATTTTGTATGGTTTTGTGGTCAACCCGAAACCGAATGGGTACAACGGGTCATAATGCGGATCGCCAACGTTCATCGGTAGCTGCTTCACCGACTTAAACCATGTCCGAGCCAACTTTCCGGTGAACCCGTAATCACCAAACAGAGCATCAGCCACTCCTTGACCTTCTGTTCCCGGAAGCCAAGCCGCGACGAGGGCGTCAATGGTCGAAACATAAGGCTGAATCACCACGGGACGGCCAGATATCACGACCACCACACACTTCACTGATCCGCACACGTTTCCTATTGTGCTTGGACCAGGAGCACTAATGGTCAGGTTCGTGGTGTCCCCAAACATTTCAGCATAAGGCGGCTCGCCAACAACCACAATGGCATAGTCAAATTTACCCGACTTCACAAAGTTTGCATCGGGGTTTTGGTTGTAGACGACTTGTGTGGTCGGAGCCACTGTATTTTTCACAGCTGTTAGGATTGTTGTACCTGTGTGCAATTAAACCAAAGTCAAGATTAAATTTCTAAATTTTGTAAGGTTATGTTCTGTATTAGCTCGCACACTATGGATGGCCAAAACATAGCTACTGCTGTGGTTGCAACCGAGACAAAAGAGGTTAAAGAGAACTTTATGAGTAAACATACCAACGGTGTGGTCGTTGCCGTTAAGGCCTTGCCAGGTGATGGTCCAGCCACCACATTGATATCCCAAGTTATCAGCGTGTGTTCCCGCAACAAGGATCTTCCCTGTTTTCTTAGGCAGAGGAAGCAGAGGTTTAGCACCTGGCTTACCATTCTTAAGCAGCACCAGAGACTTCCTCACTGCTTCACGAGCTAGTTCCCTGTGTTCCTGTTAAAGTATTTTATTTAGTTTCATCTCGATAATTTTGTAATGATTGGTATGATGGCTAAACAAAGGATAAACATAACATACCTTACTACCAAGCTGGTTGGCAAAGCTGAGATCAGCCAGTGGTTCCTCAAAGAGTCCCATTGTGAATTTGACCCTTAAGATTCTCTTCACGGCGTCATCAATCCTGCTTATTGGAATAAGCTTTTTCTGTATCTGACTGTTGATTTCGTCTATGAACTCGGTGTAGTTGTACGGAACCATAATCTGCAAATAACGAGATGCACAACAATCAAGCAACCATGGAGGACATACCAAAGATATGTAAGATAGAATCACTTTTGAGACTAACCATGTCGATTCCAGCGCTGATTCCCGCATAAACAGAGTATGAATAGTTAAGATGCGGAGGAGTTGTGATCCTATCAATCCCCTGCCAATCAGAGATGACAAAACCCTGCAGCGAAACAGAAAGAAGAGATTTAGGACCAAAGCACAGAAGCTCAAATGCATCCACATTGTACCATTTCTTACCCTGAACTTCAACTTGTTCTTGAGGAAACCCGTGACAAGTTCCTTGTTAGCATGCATTCTCAAACCGTTCCAGGCAGAGTAAGACACCATAATAGTTGCAACACCCTTGTTTACAGCGTTGTAATATCCAGGCATGTGAATTCCGAACAGCCCCTTCGAGTCAATCACCGTGTTGTTCTCATCAATTCCTCTCACTGTACCTCCATCTCCAACAAAATGCTTTGCACAAGCTGCAACTTTTGTTCTGTGACAGTCACAAGCTCATTTCGGTAAGTAAATGGAATTTGTGTACGTATCATATACTAATGAATTAATTAACCTGTGATTGAAATGAATCTAGTCAAAACAATAGACTAGTAATTTCAATGAGACATAAGCTCATTTAATCCCCCCCACATGTGAAAGATATTAATATTTGGACAGGGACTGTTTAGATGAAGGAGATAAATTCACACTGGTCCTACAGTGGCAGAAAATTCAAACCACGACTCTTTAAGAACCTGTCCGAACCTACTATAGATAGATAGACTTAAAACGTATCACATGGGTTGGCCAATCATTGATTGCCAGACAGGCTTTGCACTAGTGAAAATTGACCACCACATTTTAAATGAAAGCATGCGTGAGCATGACTTGAGGATTTTCCCCACTTTGATCATCAAGCCTCACTCAACATACAAAAAGTTTTTAACTTGTCATAGTGACCATCTTAAAACATATAACAGAAGATTAATTACAGGCAAAATTACTTACTTTCCACCAACAAAGGGAACACCCTTTCGCTTGGTAGGCAGGTCACCTTGCAAACCGGGTATAATTTCAGTCATCTGCTTGACAATTCTATAATCTTCACTGTAGCTCTCGTAGCATCTTCCCCATCTTGGATCCCTACAAACCTGTCAAATCATATCCACATTGCAATAATATTAAGCATACACGTTTCTTGATCAGTTTTCTGCAACGATTTTAAATTTGCTAGCTTCATTATACTTAGTTTCTTACTGCAATACAAGGAGCAAAGGCATATGGGATTCCAGTCGCTCTGACTTCAAGCGCGGTTGCTGCCCCAATCCTCTTAAGAAGGTTAGGATCCCTAAGAGATTAGTCAAAAACACAAAAATAAAGTTGTTCAGTTTCATAGCCATTTAAAACAGACAATTCCAACAAGAACAAAGTCCTTTCAACTTTGTGATAAGCAGAGTTAAGGCCTTCTAGGGCAACTACTTGCCTGGTGACTCCAAGGCCTACATTGTGCGGGAAAATGGTGGCGCCATACACGTTGTTGTGACCGTGAACAGCATCAATCCCATAGATCATAGGGATCCCAAGGCGGGTCGAAAGAGACGCCTTTTGAATCTCATTGACCATGTTCACCCAAGTTTCAGGAGTAGCTTTTTCCGAAGGCACACTTCCTCCACCACTTAACACACTCCCTACACAAAAACCCAACAAAGTCCACTCATTTAAACAATATATCGAACACTTAACAGACATAACTCCCCCAAGGCTCATTTTCTTCTTACCAATGAAGTATTTCTTCATGACTTCAGGTGTAGCGACGCTGCGTTCGATCTGGACCATCTGACCAATCTTCTCTTGTAGAGTCATACGGTTCATCAAATCCCTGATTCTTGCACCCAAAGGCTGCTTTGGGTCCTTGTACTTCAAAGTACCCTCAGTAGCAGCTATGGCACAACACAGCAGCACAAGACATAGCACCTTACTCAGAGTCCCCATTTTTCTTCTTCCACAGTTCCACTACAACTGCAGATAATCAGATCTAAGCTACTATTAGTCAGAGGAACTGTTCCATTGTAGATCAAATAATATAGTGCAAGAAACAACTGGAGAAAACAAGAACAAGAATCTAAAAGTGAAACACTTTGGCAAATCTGAAAACTTTGAATTCAAGAAGCTACATTTACAAGAAAAAGCTGAAAAAATCATATTTTTTTTGTTTTCTTTTAGATACTGACTGGTTTTGAAAAAACAGATCTTTATTAGTACACTGGTGAAGAAAAGAAGGACAGACCCAGATTTTAGTTGTTCAAATGGGAAAACAAAAAAAAAAGCACTCAAGAATCTTACGGTGTTGGTACTCAAGAAAAAGACGAAGAGATTTGAAATCAATAGGAAAAGAAGAGTACAAGAGATTGGAGAAGGCGAAGAAGCTTACAGTCTTGGGACTGGTATCTTCTTGAAACTGTAGAATCTCTCCTCTCTAGTAGACGAGAGAGTGGTGATGACAAAAGAGAGAGAGAGAGAGATCTTGAGAAGTGTGCTGCTGCTTCTTCCTGCTACACTCGTGTTTTAATAACACTGAAAAGTTGCTCTTCTTTTTTCACACCCTTTTTCTCTCCTTATTATTATTTTTTTGTTCGAATTTTAAACAATTTTTTGGAACAGAAAATAATAGTCTCTCAGTTTTACAAGATAAATCGTTTTAAGTAAAAACACGCCGATTAAAGGATCTATTTTTAAAAAATTTAACCAATTATAAAAGAAACTGCATAATATAAACAATCGAATAAAGGATCTATTTTTAAAAAATTTATAATATATAATTTACATCGAAATTCGAAAACGATTTATATTGTGAAACAAAAAAAACTTTATCCAAAATGCCTTATATTATGAAACGGAGGGAATATATATGGGTTTAACAGAAGAATACTGTTAATTTGAATTTTTGTCTTTTTCATTTTAACTAATTTAAACAAGTTGTATTTTGGCTTTCAAAATGATTTTTTCCGTTAATTATCAAATTCTGTCGGTTATTATATATTATTGTTTGATACAGTTCTTGGCTCCAACAATATGAAAATCCCTTTAGCAAAAGTAATTTTAAAAAAATAAGAGAAAGCGTGAAGAATAATCTCTAGATACAGTAGATAGAATTATCCACTCTCACAAGTCACGAGTCTTAAATATCGGCACGAATAGTGTGTGGGGTACGTGCACTCAAGTCAAAGGTACATATCACTCAATTTCGTATTGACTACCATATGATGCCGATTTTGTCATGACTTCTTTATCAACGTTTTTGAAAATGTTATAAGAATAATAATAGTAAAATCTCTTGTCTACAAGTTTTAAGCAATGAAACAAAAATGGAATAAAAGTATATAAATGATCCAAATAATTATACTATTAAACAAAAAAAATTACACTATTAAACGTGCGTTCCAGTCGTCTAAGTTTCTAACACATAACAAAAATTTTGTTACTAGAATTTTAAATCGACCAAATTGTATATACTGGTGATTCTATCACAATTTGTGGCATGTTCGAGTGGATCATCTCGGAGACCGTGTTAAGATGCTTGCAGGTCCCAGGAGGTTACGCACGTTACACTCCAAACGGTCTCATTTTTGCTTTTTAGATCTCTTTTAACGGATACAATTTCTCGCTTTTTTTCTTTGTTTCTTTACTCTTAAACTATAGAGAATAATAGAGATGCTTTTTTTGACTAGTCTCTAATTTCTTATATACTCTTTGAGTTTTATGGGTTTTGTTTGAATGTGATTTGTTTTCTAAAAGTTATTGACTTCTTCTTAGAGCATGATTAACAATGGTATCTTAAAAATAGTTCTTAGGAGTATTAAAGTAATAGATTTGTAAAAATGGTTCTTAGGTTTAATTTTGTGTCTTAGCTAAGCCACGTTTCTTAGTATTTAGCATGGTTTGTCATTAATTTTGGACCTAAGATTTTCTTAAGAACACTTTAAGACACCCCTGTTAATGGTGGTCTTAGGATAATATTTGGAAGTTTGTAGTTTTCATTTTCTAATCAATGCATGTGCAGGTTTTATCAGTCATTAGTCTATATGTTCGCAGAGATGTTTTTCTTTATTTAAATTGATTGATTATTTGCCTTGTTGAGCATTATGTTTCTTGTCTTAAAAGAGAGTTCTGTCTTCTAATGAAAAATTAATGGTGTTTTTCAATTTGTTCTTAAGAAATAATATAGTACACAAAAGTTAGAGCTGAAGATTAAATAATGGTGTTTTACACCTTTTAGTTTATTCATCTCTGCATTACAAGTAAATACCATAGTCTCATAGAAGTTTATGACATATTTAAATTGACACGTACACGTACGTAGATCAGATATTGTTGTTTGGATTGCATACCTTAAATAATGAATTCGAACCATAAAGTACAAATCATAAACCGAAAGAATATTGATTTTGATGAGATACTATAAAGTGTATGAGAATGAGATACTATAAAGTATAAAGTGTAAGCTTTGTTGAGAGAGATTTTTACGAGCAAAAATTGTTTAAAATTTTTGTGCATAATAACTCCTAATGGGCCTAACCTAAACTCTGATGGGCTGATAAGGTTAATGTTGTACCTGATACTATTATGTGTAAACTTTGTTGACTGCAAAAAATTGTTATTAAGATTTTGACTATAAACTCCTAATGGGCCTAACATAAACTCTCTGATTTGCTGATAAGATTATATTTGTACTCGCTAAATGCCTAGCTCGAGCATCGAACACGCCACGTCACGAGCATGCAAACAAGCTACAAGAGCCAAGGCTACTAAACATTCATCGGTAACGGCGTAACACTACCGGCTAATTTGAAAACATTTCGGGAAACTGATAAACTACGGCATCAATACGATTGATGATTGTTACGAAATTGACTAATTTAATTGTTAGGATATATCCAGATTTTTAATAATGGCATAAGAAGTCTGCTAGTATGAATCTAAAACTTCACTATCACAGACCACATTATTAAATCTATACAAGCTATCATAAAAAATGCATAGACAAAACAAGACATTAACGATTAATCCCTTTTTGTCAACGAATCTTTTAATGTATTTATTTTGTCACCAAAACATCAAATCACACTAATTCATTGTTTGGTGTCCTTTGTGATAAGGACTAATGAGACTGATCGTTATTTCAAAATATTAGACGCTAAAATTTAAAACGATTAAAACTTTTAGTCACTATCACTAAAAAAAAAAAAAAATTTAGTCACTAAAATTTTAAATGTGTTGCCGAAAGTTATCGCTGGACCAATAACTATAAACAAACAAAATTTTAGTCATTCTCGTGATTAGCTAACAACTACGAAACGAATAAGAAAAAAGGTGTTGTTGGTTGATGTTTTTTTTTGTTGTTGTTGTTGTTGTGGAATATTTTGTTTTAAAGAAACGTGTTTTGATTGTATCCTCCGTTTTAAAAGTATTTAAAATTTAGCTCAGTCCTTTTACTATTTCAGTTCCCCCACCATTCACTTCAACAATTGCTTACTTTCTTTGCTTTCGTTGGAGGCAAAAGATAGTTGTGTATCGTTTTGGACCATACACCTACCTGAGTGGTGAATGCTGACCTTGTCTACTTTGGCTGCAACGATTAGTCAGTCCGGAGTAACATCAAATTGATTTGTGAGATGTTTAATTTGATGTACTTCAATATAGTATTGAGTACTTTGTGATGTTTCGTATGTATATAGAAAAAAGAATTCGTCAAGAGTACAATCCCATCCGATTCTGTGAATTGTTTACGAGCGAAAGTATCTTTCGAAGCTTGCTGGTTTTGAGATAGCTAGCCATGAGGGACTGGTTTTACCTATGGAGAAGAGAATCTGCAAAATAATGGGACGACATGTAGTTGTCTTCAGCCAAAATTTTATTTGTATATTGTTTTGTGATAATTGCTGCAAACTAAATTACATATATACTCTATTTGTTTAGACACTTTCCATGCAAATTAACAAAACATATTGTTATACTTATAAAAGATAATTGGCCTTGGTATATATATATATATATATATATATATGGTTTGTATTAATTTAAAATTGAGGTAGATGTAACTATTTTATGCCAAAATTTATATTAAAATCTAAAACGATATATTTTTAAAAGCATATAAACAATTGTACAACCATATTTTATTTGAAATGGAGAGACTACTTACGAAAAAGTTAAACAATGAGACAAGATTTTGGTGGATCATAATCACGGGGCTTTATCTTTCTGACATGTTAATTTTTTAAATGCAATTGATTTTTTTTTTAAACACTTTAAATGCAATTGATTATCTAATATTGAACGTTCATATATATGCGATGCGAAAGTAATATATTGAACATTTATTCAAAAGACAGTGTGCTATCTTTTGGAGCCTATTGTCTACTTGAACATTAGAAAAGTTACACAAATAGGGTGTAACAGGTAATTTAATCAAAGGCATGTGCTGAATAAAATAAATAATGATGAACACAATTAGTGGGATAAGATAAAAAAACAATATTTCCCACCTATTTATTTGCTGCAAGAAGTGTTTTTTAAAAAAGGTTGGTTTATCTTCCGGAATGAAATGGATTTTCTCTTTCTCACTAATTTTTCGATTTTGACGGGCCATTTTACTAATTAACTTGAAAAATTAGTTATGGATTTGGTAATTATATTTACTTTTCCAGTATCTCTTTAATTTTTTTTATCTCTTTAATATTTTAATATTTCCTGCTCATATTTATATTAAGTTTCTCACTGTTTCTATTTTAAGGAGTCCCTGGACTAATCCACACTTTGAAAATTTGACGCTTTATATGGTGTTTTACTGTTTTTGTATTGTTTCTCATTTTTTTTTTTCTATTTTCTTTCACAATAATATTCTGTGAAATACTCTTTAGGTAAAGTTTTTTTTACCGGCACTAATTTTTTTTTTTCAGGTAGTTTAGGTTTTTCTAAAACAACATTCGTTAGACCGACGGATTTGGATTCGGATCGACATTACTCATTAGCATTTAGCATTCGAATAGAAATTTTTTTTTTTTGCTTTCTCTTTTGGTTGTTAGTTTATTAGATTCCAGAAGATTTAATTCGTACAACACGTATACAATTTGTGCACGACTAGAAAATACAAGTAAACGGTTTGATTTGTCGAAACGTTCTTTAGTGAAAGCAACCAAATAATGGTGAAACCTTTTTCATATAGTCAATTTTTTTTTGGTAAAACATATATTCAATTTTTACTAGCAATTTATCTTTCATTAACTTACTACTTTCATTTTTTACCTACCTAATCCACTACGTTCACCAGATATATACCAACCGTACATATATTATAAAATATATAGAATACGACGAATCTTATCGTGTATTCTCGTACAAAGACTTTGTGACTGTCACACATATCGCAAAAAACCAAAGCCTACATTTAGAGAATCAAAGTCGTGGAAATAAATTCTGGTTTGGTTTGTGCTATATATGGGTGAGAAAGTGATTGAAGAAGACAAAGAAGAAGCGATGAAGAGCAGCAAGACCTCTCTTGTTTTCGCCATTAACGGACAAAGATTCGAGCTCGAGCTCTCTTCCGTTGATCCTTCCACCACACTCGTTGATTTCTTGCGCAACAAGACTCCTTTCAAGAGCGTTAAGCTTGGTTGTGGCGAAGGTATGATGATTACAATAATCAAAAAGTTGAAGTCTCTATATCTTCATGTTCCTGAGGTTTTTTTCTCTCTATGAAAACTCTTAATTTTGTGTATATGAACAAGAGTTTTTTTTTTTTTTGGACAAATATGATGAACAAGAGTTTTAGATCTAAAACTTATAAACTCCAAAGATTTTTGATTAAATCTGCAGTCTCTATAGCTCTCTTATGGATGTTTCTTGTGTTCTTACCTCGGATTCTATGTCTTGAGAGACTGATTCCTTTTCGAAGACTGATCCTTTTTTTTTTTTTTGGGGTCAAAGACTGATCCGATTTCGACTCCAATTTTAAACGCTAATCTATGCGACTATGCTTCAATTATTTATTGTGGCATCACCATGTTATAATCCAGATTCAAATCTGATAGTGTTTGATTGTATACAACAACAACAACAACAAAAATTTTCAGCTTTTTCATAAAATATTGCAAATTCTAAACGTATTTGCTACTTTTTAGGTTGTGTTTGGCGTACGTTTACATTTAAAAAGGAGATTTAGCTTTAATTCAATACTAAAAAGGGTTATTGGATCAATAGTTCCAAGAATTCTCCACATGCTTTTATATTATCGAATAGGTCAATTTTTGATATTATTTTATACTAAAGATTCCCTGAAAAAGTATTGAAGTTCTGTTTTGAAAAAGGGTTTAGGTATTGAAGTTTTAATATAATAGAATAAGTGAATAACACTACCCTTTAAACTTTCTTAGCCATGACTTACAAATATCAAATCTAATTACAAATGATTATTAGTTTATAACAGAAAATGTAATAATAGTAATAATGTGAACTGTGTTTAGAATTATGGTCTATTAGTCTAATTCAATTCCATGAGTGAATAAACATCCCTAAAGCTTGGGTCCTAAGTAATATTGTATCTTCTTTGGGTTCAGGTGGTTGTGGCGCTTGTGTTGTTCTTCTTTCCAAGTATGATCCATTGCTAGAAAAAGTCGATGACTTCACAATCAGCTCGTGTCTCACGCTCCTCTGCAGCATTGATGGCTGTTCCATCACTACCTCAGACGGGCTCGGGAACAGCAGAGTAGGTTTTCATGCGGTCCATGAGCGGATCGCCGGTTTTCATGCCACACAATGCGGTTTCTGTACACCTGGAATGAGCGTTTCGATGTTTTCCGCTCTCTTGAACGCTGATAAGTCTCATCCGCCTCGCAGCGGTTTCTCAAACCTCACGGCTGCAGAAGCTGAGAAGGCTGTGTCAGGGAATCTTTGCCGGTGTACTGGATACAGACCGCTTGTGGATGCTTGTAAGAGTTTTGCAGCGGATGTGGATATCGAAGATCTCGGATATAATTCCTTTTGCAAGAAGGGAGAAAACAGAGATGTGGTGTTAGGAAGGTTGCCATGTTATGATCATACAACATCTCAGGTCTGTACATTTCCGGAATTCTTGAAGAACGAAATCAAGAACGGTATGAGTCTTGATTCAAGAAAGTACAGATGGTCAAGCCCGGTTAGTGTCTCGGATCTTCAAGAGTTATTAGAAGCCGAAAATGGAGTGTCGGTTAAGTTAGTTGCGGGTAACACAAGCACCGGGTATTACAAAGAAGAAAAAGAGAGGAAGTACGAAAGATTTGTCGATATCAGGCGGATTCCAGAGCTCACTATGGTGAGAAGTGATGAGAAAGGAGTTGAATTAGGAGCTTGTGTTACTATATCGAAAGCTATTGAGGTTCTAAGAGAGGAAAAAAATGTTTCCATGTTGGCGAAAATAGCGACTCATATGGAGAAAATTGCAAACAGATTCGTGAGGAACACGGGAACGATAGGCGGAAACGTAATGATGGCTCAGAGAAAACAATTTCCTTCAGATCTCACAACCATACTTGTTGCTGCTCGAGCAACGGTGAAGATCATGACTAACAGCTCGGGTCAAGAACAGTTCACATTGGAAGAGTTTCTACAACAGTCTCCTCTTGATGCAAAATCTCTTCTTTTGAGCCTCGAGATTCCTTCTTGGCGCCCCCCGAAGAAGAACGGTTCTTCTTCAGATACTATTTTGCTCTTTGAAACTTACAGAGCAGCGCCTCGTCCTCGAGGAAACGCATTGGCATTTCTGAATGCAGCTTTCTCAGCTGAAGTTTCTTCAAGTGAAGCACTTGATGGCATTGTTGTAAATGATTCCCAATTAGTTTTTGGGGCTTATGGGACCAAACACGCTCACAGGGCAAAGAAAGTGGAAGATTTTCTTACAGGAAAAGTGATATCTGATGAAGTTTTGATGGAAGCTATTGGCTTACTTAAAGATGAGATAGTACCTGATAAGGGTACTTCGAATCCCGAATATAGATCAAGCTTGGCTGTTACTTTTCTCTTCGAGTTCTTCGGATCTTTAACTCAAACAAACGCTAAAACTACAAACGGTTGGCTCAATGGAGGATGCAAAGAGATAGGTTTTGATCAGAATGTTGAATCTTTGAAACCTGAAGAAGCTATGTTGTCATCTGCACAACAGATAGTTGAAAATCAAGAGCATAGTCCGGTCGGGAAAGGCATTACAAAGGCTGGAGCTTGTCTCCAAGCATCTGGTGAGTGCTCTTTGATCTTTTGCCAGGTGAAAATGTGAGATATTGCTTCTCTGTTAATGTTTTAATAAATTTGCAGGTGAGGCTGTTTATGTAGACGACATTCCTGCTCCGGAAAATTGTGTATACGGCGCATTTATTTACAGTACAATGCCGCTGGCGCGGATTAAGGGTATAAGGTTCAGGCAAAACAGAGTTCCAGAAGGAGTTCTTGGCATAATTACTTACAGAGATATTCCCAAAGACGGGAAAAATATCGGTACCAACGGTTTCTTTACCTCGGATCTTTTGTTCGCAGAGGAAATCACTCATTGTGCGGGTCAGATAATCGCCTTTTTGGTAAGTTTGGTGGAGAATTTTCTTTTCCTCTGAAGCATTTATTTAGAATGATTCAATATGTTTTATCTGCAGGTTGCAGATAGTCAAAAGCATGCAGATATTGCAGCAAATCTTGTTATGATAGATTACGACACCAAAGATTTAGAACCACCTATACTGTCCTTAGAAGAAGCTGTAAAAAAATTTAGCCTTTTCGAGGTCCCTCCACCTCTGCGTGGTTTCCCGGTCGGTGATATCACCAAGGGAATGGATGAAGCTGAACATAAGATTCTTGGATCAAAGGTGGTTCTCTTCCAAGACATATATGTCTCTAAATCCCTGCTCTTTTCTAACCATCATATTAAATCTTTGTGATTGCGGTTTATATGTAGATAAGTTTCGGGTCACAATACTTCTTCTATATGGAGACACAAACAGCTCTTGCAGTGCCGGATGAAGACAACTGTATGGTGGTTTATAGCTCGACTCAAACCCCTGAGTTTGTACATCAAACCATCGCTGGATGTCTTGGAGTTCCTGAGCACAATGTGCGTGTCATCACTAGAAGAGTTGGAGGCGGCTTCGGTGGGAAAGCTGTGAAGTCAATGCCTGTGAGTTTGCATTTTGAAAGTAATATCGAGTGAGAGTTTTGATTTTTTTATTTTAACATTTCTCTTTATATCAACAAACTGTTTCTAGGTGGCTGCAGCTTGTGCACTTGCAGCATCCAAAATGCAGCGTCCGGTGAGGACATATGTGAACCGAAAAACGGATATGATAACTACCGGAGGAAGACATCCGATGAAAGTCACATATAGTGTTGGATTCAAATCCAATGGAAAGATTACTGCTTTAGATGTAGAGGTGTTACTTGATGCAGGGTTAACCGAAGATATAAGCCCGCTTATGCCAAAGGGAATCCAAGGAGCTCTGATGAAGTATGATTGGGGTGCTCTATCTTTCAATGTGAAAGTGTGCAAAACAAACACTGTGAGCAGAACCGCGCTGAGAGCTCCCGGGGATGTACAAGGATCATACATAGGAGAAGCCATCATTGAAAAAGTAGCTTCATATCTTTCAGTTGATGTGGATGAGATCAGGAAGGTTAATCTCCATACCTATGAGAGCTTAAGGTTGTTTTACAGTGGCAAAGCTGGTGAATTCCCTGAGTACACTTTACCATTGCTTTGGGACAAAATCGATGAGTTCTCGGGATTTAACCAGCGGAGGAAGGTCGTTGAGGAGTTTAATGCATTAAACAAGTGGAGGAAGAGAGGGATTTCACGTGTGCCTGCGGTTTACGCAGTGAATATGCGATCAACACCGGGAAGAGTAAGCGTTTTGGGAGATGGATCAATAGTGGTTGAGGTTCAAGGGATTGAGATAGGACAAGGGCTTTGGACAAAGGTGAAACAGATGGCTGCATATTCCCTTGGTTTGATCCAATGCGGTACTACAAGTGATGAGCTGCTCAAGAAAATCAGGGTCATTCAATCCGACACCCTAAGTATGGTGCAAGGCTCAATGACTGCTGGTAGCACAACCTCTGAGGCGAGCAGCGAAGCGGTTAGGATTTGCTGTGATGATTTAGTCGAAAGGCTTTTACCCATCAAGACCGCTTTGGTGGAGCAAACAGGTGGACCTGTGACTTGGGATAACCTCATCAGTCAGGTTCATACTCTTAAAACATTCATGCTTTTGATGTTCTCTGGTTATTTGGAATGAACTTAAAATGGTTTTATTGAATTTTCTGGTGTAGGCTTATCGGCAATCAATAAACATGTCGGTTAGTAGCAAATACATGCCGGACTCCACTGGCCAATACCTTAATTATGGAATTGCTGCTAGCGAGGTAAAGCTCCAAACATTGAAGAATAGCTCATCTTAGCTTACTACTATTTTGTGAAATAATTTCACTTCTTTGGTTGTAATCAACAGGTTGAAATAAACGTTTTGACGGGAGAAACAACGATTCTGCGCACGGATATTATCTATGATTGCGGGAAGAGTCTCAATCCCGCTGTTGATTTAGGACAGGTTAGACCCGGGAAAACATGTGTGCCTGTTTCTGTTCTTGTTCTGGATCTAAATTTGTAATGTTAATATTGTTCTGTTTCATGATTCTTTATTTCTGTTTTGTTTACAGATTGAAGGAGCATTTGTTCAAGGACTTGGGTTCTTTATGCTTGAAGAATTTCTTATGAACTCAGACGGTCTCGTGGTAACAGACAGCACATGGACATACAAGATCCCAACGGTTGACACAATCCCAAGACAGTTCAATGTTGAGATTCTCAACAGTGGACAACACAAGAATCGTGTTCTTTCATCCAAAGGTGACTTACTTATCTATTTTTCTCTTTTACTGAAAGCCAAAGATCAAAAACTCAAAAAGTCTTTCTAAAACTTTTGTTTTGGTTTCGATACAGCTTCGGGTGAACCGCCATTGCTTTTAGCGGCTTCTGTTCACTGCGCAGTACGAGCAGCTGTTAAAGAAGCCAGGAAACAGATTCTGACATGGAATAGTAACCAACAAGGGACTGATCTGTACTTCGAATTGCCTGTTCCAGCAACAATGCCTGTTGTGAAGGAGTTTTGTGGACTCGATGTTGTTGAGAAATACTTGGAATGGAAAATTAAGCAACGGAAGAACGTTTGATAGCTTGTGTTTGTGTTTTTGATGTGAATGTAAAATTGCTCTGGTTTTGTTTTGGTTTTGTTTTGGTTTTAAGTGTTTGCTAGAATGTTTGGGATTGTGATAAACCGGTTGTGGTAATAAGCTGCATGTAAGAAAGCCTCTTCAATAATGTTTGTTATTATAAAAATCTGTTATCAGTTTAAAGATATAATCTTGTAATAAATCTTTTCTCTAAATAATATATGGAATTTTAGAAGTTTTGAGCATGGCAGTGGTGTTGTTCTGTTTGGATCCATCATCACACAAAGTTGCATATGTATAATACAATATTACTTTTTCATATACATATGTATGTACAATAATACTAATAATAATAATAATAATATACATATACAATAATAATAGTAATAATATATAATTATCCCATTCGTTAAAATTCTTAATTTTGTCGACAGACAAATAAAAAGGGATACTTAATATTAAACTCAATCCAAAGAATCATCAAAATCTTCAAGACAAAGAAAACACAAAGAAGAGAAAGAGGAAGTGGTAAACCCAAAGAACTAAGCCTTCGTTCCTTCAAACTAAAACCAAAACTCTTTGTTGTCTAATAATCTTCTTTGCCTATAAAATCACAGAGATCTTTCTCTGCTTTCTCACAAAACAAAACATTACCTATAAACCAAAAAACAAAGAGCAGCCAAAAACAAAAGAGAGAGAGAGAGAGAGAGAGGGAATGGCTAACATTGGAGTGGAACGGGTTTACCAAGAATTTGAGCCTGCAACTAGATGGACCTCTGAACCAGACGTCGAGGTCCTTGTCGCTGATCTTCCAGGTTCGTTTTCTTCTTCTCGATCTTGTTTATTTGTGTTCCTTTTTCTACATTAAACACAGCGAATAGAGAGAAAAGAGTTTGGTAAGAGCAAGCGAGCTCATAAGCATTGTCTTCTGTCGTTAGGATTCAAGAAAGAACAACTTAAAGTCTCAGTAACCGCAACAAGGAAGCTAAGACTAACAGGAGAACGCCCAACTGGTGGAAACAAATGGATTCGCTTCCACCAGGAAATTCCCGTTCCATTGACTGTTGACATCGACTCGGTTTCAGCCATGTTCAAGGATAACAAACTCTACATCCGGCATCCCAAACTCAAGACAGAAATCCCTCAAACCAAGCCACCAACACCGGTGATCATGAAAACCCGTGATCAGCATGAGATAAAACAAGGCCAGGGCCCCAAAGCAATGGTTGAGAAGCCGAGCGGTGGTAAAACCGATCAGCTGAAACATGATGCACAACAGCTGAAACATGATGCACAGCAAAAAGCAAGGGAAGTAGTACAGAGTGGAAAAAAGATATTAACTGGTGAGCCTAAAGGACCTTTGAGTTCCAAGGACGACGAGAAAGACAAAATTGGAGCGAAATGGTTTGAGAAGTACAAAGAGGCAACTGGAAATGTGGTAAAGGAAGCTAAGAACAAAAGACAGTTACTTTGCAATTTGGCTGCTTCGGTTTCTTTGGTTCTGCTAATCTTACTGTATGCTAGAAATGCAGTACGCTCATCCCTTGTGTGGAAATCCGAGGAATGAGTGACCCTTGCATTTGCATTTCACAATGTATAAGCTTGTTCATGCAGAAAATAAATAATATTTACTAATATTACTCTACATGTCTTAAAAATGTGTGACGAGAAAATGAGAAAAACATCGTTTTACAGATTTCTAATTAGCCCTAGTATAATTAATTCCGGTGCCAGAAAATTTTACTAGAATTGAGGAAAACAATCAGAACAATAACATAACTACCAACCCAACAAGAACTGCTAAATGAATAAAAAACAAAAACCTACAAGTGGAGGAATTCTACAAAAAAAATGAAAATCAATGAGGCTTGATGCATGCGACAATATGAAATTCATTCCAGGCACTCATAGAGAAATTCTATTTATAACCCAAGCAACGATTTTGAGGAAACTTACTTGAGGAAAGGTTCATGACTTATTTAGCTGAGAGCGGATTAGCTTAGCAGCAGCAACCATGTTGCTAAGTGCAGATTTAACTTCAGAGTAATTCCGCGTCTTTAGGCCACAGTCAGGGTTGACCCAAAGGACTTTGCTGTCCAGAACAGCAAGCATCTTGTTGATACGCTCAGCTATTTCTTCAGTAGATGGGATACGAGGAGAGTGAATGTCATAAACCCCTGGACCAATTCCAGCACCGTATTTCACTCCTTCATGGAAGACTGATAAGAGCTTCTCATCTGACCGTGAGTTCTCAATAGTGATCACATCAGCATCCATATCAATGATTGAGTGGATGATGTCGTTGAAATTTGAGTAGCACATGTGGGTGTGGATCTGCATGAAGTACAAGAAGAACATGACTAAAAGGTTTTATTTAAACAACAAACTTTATTGAATATAATGAGACCTCTTCCGTTATTTAGTCATTGTTTCACATCCTTCATCTTAATATCACATCCCATTGTCCACGAAAATGGTAGATGGTCAACATACTGGTAAAAATATATTCTTTTAAGTGGGAAGCAGCAATAAAGTGAAATACAAATGACCTGGGTAGTGTCTTGAACACCGCAGTTTGTAATTCTGAATGCGTGGACGGCCCAGTCAAGGTAAAACTTTTGCTCGGATTTTCTGAGAGGCAATCCCTCTCTTAATGCAGCTTCATCAATCTGGATAACAGTGACACCAGCCTTTTCAAGGTCCTCAACCTCATCTTTGATGGCAAGTGCAATTTGGAAACACGTCTCATGCCTATAAACAACAAGAATGGTGAAATGGAATACCATACAGTGAAAGGAAACTTGAGAGGCTTAGTTGTCACACCTGGGTTGGTCATTTCTAACAAAGGACCAATTGAGAATTGTAACAGGGCCAGTGAGCATCCCCTTCATAGGACGTTGGGTCATTTTCTGTGCCATTGACGACCAGAAAACAGTCATTGCCTTTGGCCGGGTGATATCACCATAGATGATAGGTGGCTTGACACAGCGGGACCCATATGACTGGACCCACCCATTCGAAGTGAAAGCAAAGCCAGACAGTTGCTCACCAAAAAACTCCACCATATCGTTTCTCTGCAGGACTATGTCATATCAGGAGGGTAAAGAATGAAATAGTTTGAATAATAAACCTAAGTTAAGGTATATTCCCACCTCTGCCTCCCCATGCACCAATACATCAATCCCAAGTTCTTCCTGAAGCTTGACAACCTTTTCATATTCCTCTTTGATAGTCTGGACATAGTCAACTTCTGATATCCTGCAAATGCAGCGTATGCATGAGTATTAATATAATGACATGTTAGAATTTTTCAGATACATCATTGGATTAGATAGGCCTACTTTTTGGCCTTGAATTCCCTGCGTATCCGTCTGAGATCTGTGGTCTGAGGAAAAGATCCAATAGTAGTTGTTGGAAGAGCAGGAAGGTTTAGCTTCTTCTGCTGGGCTTGTAGCCTAACGCTTACTTCTGTAGAACGGTGGTGATCTGATTTCTTTAGTGCAGCAACCTGAGTAAGAAAGTAATTAGATACAAGTTCAGGATACAAAGATCAATTTCTTAGATAACCCCTTACATCCTGCTGTACAGCTGCATTTGTCACCCTTGGAGATGATTTTCTAGAAGCTTGACGCATGGAATTAGAAGAAAACAATGCCTACAAAGGGAACAAGACAATAAAAAGCCGAAGGTTAACTACTTCTGATATCAAATAAAAGTAAAGTCCCAGCAATGATCAATGAGATCAGGTAAAGGCATCGATGTAGTTGCAGTCATTAGGACATATGTTTAAAGCCGATAACTTCAATCGTGGGAAAAATTATAACTCAAAGACCTAGAACTAGAAACACAGAGCCTTTCCAAGATTAAAAAACCTCAGAAGTATTGCATAATGTAATGAGCACAGATGTACCTCATCCTTAGCTCCAGAAAATGATTTGGCAAGTGCATTCACTTCAACGACCTTTTGTGCAGCAAATGCAAGCCACGATTTTAGTTCTTTATCAAGTTTAATTTCATTCACCAAGTCCACAGCCGTATGGAGTAGAGAGCAAGAAGTAGAAACCACGACTTTTTCTGCAAAGAGAAGAGAAAGGTTTACATCAATCTGAAGCTAGACAGGAAAAAGAAGTGAAAGCAATCAACTGAAATTTTGTTTACTGGAACCTTTTCCAACAATGTCTTCAAGAGTCTGTAGTGTCTTGAGTGACGCAGAAAGATCATTCGCCCAAATGTTTCTTCCATCAACAACTCCAGCAAATAGTAGCTTTCCACGAGGAAAATTCATCTTGATTAAATCAAGAGTCTCCAATCCACGAACAAGGTCAAATCCAAACCCAGTTACACATTTCAAAGACATCAACGTCTTGTACGCTTCAGCAGGAACATCTGCAAAGTATGTGGCAATAAGAACATTCAAGCCTGCCAAAGATGACTCCATGTGAGAGTACGCATCGGAAAATGCCTGCAATTGGCTGGTGTCAAGATCCATCACAAGTATAGGCTCATCGAACTGAATCCATCGTGCACCAGCAGATTTGAGATCAGCCAAAACTTCTCTGCCAAAATAAATGCCACAGAAACCAGTTAAAGTTTCGAGCACTATCCAAATGATATTGTATTTATTATGGTCTAGCTAATGTCTAAGAACCTCACAGTTGGCCTTATTCTTACTTGTAGACAGGAAGAATCTTGTCAATCAAAGAAAGAAGGCAGAAAGATTTTTCAACACCCTTTGCTGGTTTTGACAGGAGCAAGTAGGTCATGGGACCGATGAGCACAGGAACTGTGTCTATGCCAAGCTGTGCCATGAACAGCCAAAAACACAGCTGTGAATAAGAACCTTGGGAAAAAAAGAGGAAAGCTGAAGAGAATTATAAGAGAAAAAGCAATACCATCAATAATCTATATGCCAGTATCAAAAGAACAGTAACAGCTCAACCAAAAGTTATTCCGAGAACATAAGTGAAAAAGGGTTCCAGTCAACTTACTGCTTTCGCCTCCTTAAATTCAACCACAGCCTTGTGAGATGCATAGGAGAATTTGACATCAGGACCCAACTCAGGAACAATGTAATGGCTGTTAGGGCATCTATTAGCAATTATAACTGAGAAAGAAACTTAACAAAGAGGGAAGAAAGAGGATTCACTACTTACTAGTTGGTATCAAACCACTTAGTCATTTTGCATGAGCAGACGCATTTCCCCGTGCCATGGAGAAGTAAATATCAAACCCGATCTCACCACTTTCCCAACCATATCTAGGGGGGACAGCACCAAGCATCGCTGTGGTATCCAACATCTGATCATAGTATGAAAAGGTATTGCTGGGAATATATTTGATTCCTGTATCAGCCATATGTTTCCAAATGGATTTTCTCACGTTGGCAGCAACATTTTGCAAATCATCAACACTGGTCTTCCCATCCCAGAAGGACTCCAATGCAAACTTAAGCTCTCTCTTCGGTCCAATACGAGGATACCCAACGATGTGGGATGACATTGCTCTATTTTTTCACAAACAAGAGACAACAGGATTAGTGGAAAATTCATGAATCTAACAGATAATACAACACAACATCTAATAAAAAATTTCGGATGCTGATGCAAATTGAAAATGGATGATGAGTAACAACCTATGGTACAAAATCAATAGTGCAAACAAACAAGAGAAACCATAACAGGATTCGGTTGAATTGTGAAACCATAACAAATACACCAACAAGAGAAAGAATCCGAGGGAAACAGAAGAAAACCTGGCGACGTAGAATCCGGGACGGAGGGGGCGGCGGGAGACGGTTGCACAAGGGAGGGACGGAGAAGCCGAAGACGGTGGCGGAAGAGAAGGAGGACGTCTTGGAAGCGAAGCTAACGGCGGGAGTCTCTGAAGAGCGAGCTGACCCATTTTTATAGCTTTGAGTTTCAAACTGTGCTCCTATTTCTGTTCACTGTATCCTCCGGGGAAAGAGGAGACTCGCAACTATTTCATTTCGTTTCCCAGGTTTTTATATAATTGATAAATTAAGGTTAACCAAAAGAAAATTCGTTAACCAGACCGAAAATGAATGTGTAATCAAATTGTTGATATTTTGTGTTATTTGGCTTATGCGATGTATTTTTCTCATTAAGGGATAGGCATTTTTTTACAAGTATACCTTATTACAAAAACTTCATTTCGCACCATATAGTTGGGTTTCGTGTAACTAACTCAGTAAGCCACAAAACTTGTCAAAAGTTTTACAGTCACAACAGTGCAGAGCAAAATCACTTGGGGGTTTTGATTCACTGTGTGGAGAAGCTGGAAAGTTTTAGTGAGTACAAGAACATCCAGCCTCCTCTTCCTTTTCTCCCGTCGCATAGGCCGACTTATAGCTTTGGTCCCATGTATCAGTCGGTGTGGTTGCTTCTGCGTGAGGTATGTGCTTCGGATGTTTCTCTCTCTTGTCTCCTTTGATCTGCTTCAGTGCGTGCTTCAATGCCGGTAAAAGAGCCTCCATACACTCGGCCACTGCGTTTGGGTTTCCAGGCATGTTGATTATCTGGGGGAACCAAAAACATGGAAATGGTGAGTGATGATGACAACTTAGAGATTGCACCAATGTGAAGTTAGAGATCTGTACCAGTGTTGAGCCTCTAATTCCTGCTGCAGAGCGTGAGAGCATCGCAAATGGCGTGATCTGCTCACAGAGAAAAAAGGACACGGAATTCAGATGACTACTCACCACCATTCTTTTCCATTATTAAAAAGAACAACCATGTTCAATCCAGGTCTGGTTATTCAGTTTTAGAAAATAGTTACCTAATTTGGTTTCAGGAATTTTGCATATTAGAGAAAGACGAACTATTCTAACTGTATTAAAGCTCAATTTGGTTTTCGAATTGGATTGGTTTGGTTATCAGATTAAACATCAGCAGAATTAAGAGGTAAGTAATAAACCTTTAAGCTCTCTTGCATCATAACAAAGAGGAGACCGGGTGTTTCTCTCTCGATCACCTTTTTCGTTGCTTCAGGTGTTACATCTCTTGGAGTGAACCCAGTACCACCTAATTCCAATATGTTAAGTATATCAAAAATATGCTTCAAATACAACAACAAATCTACAATAAGTAACTAAATGTTTGTATACCAAGTGTAAGAATGAGATCCATTTCGTCAACATCACTCCATTTCTGGAGAATGTCTTTGATTCTTTCCACTTCATCGGGGACAACAGCTGTTGCAACTACCTTAGCTCCTCCCAGTTTTTCAGACGAGGAATCAACCACTGACACAGCTCTGGGCCCACTGCACCAGCATAAGAAATTCAATCAAGAAATGATCATAAAATAAATGGATAAATAATTGATAAGACCAAAACTTTCACACAAATTTGAAGTGAATACAAACAAAAAAACTATCTGGAGAGGGTTTGAGCATTCCTTTGAGTATTTAACATGAAGAATGGCATCGAGATGAGATTTTTCTTAAAGATGTAGCAAAGCATTGTGATGCTTCCCTGTCTCACTATGACAGGGAGCAATATAACTGTGCAATTTTACTATGGCATCGAATTTGTGACCTCACCAGAATAACGAACTGGAGAGGTGTATCTAGATGCACTTTTTTTAATCGACGAAAATGAAGTAAGTCTTGTAAAAAAGTTGCAGTCCAGAGTTTTCACTCACTGCGTTTAACTTGGGCTGAGGAGATATCAACTCTACATTATCAATATTTGCATCCATTTTGCCACATTAAAAGAAAATCGAGAAGGTGAATCTAGACGATTTTTTGACTACAAAGTCATGTTCTAGCTTTATTCTCATCAAATAATCAGCCAGTAACAGGTCTTCTAAACAGCGTTTTTACTCACAAGCATAAATTTAATATAACCATCAACTACCCACTGTCGCAGTTACCAGAAGGTAAGACATACGGGACAAATATGTTTAAGAACTTCATCAAAATCAATGTATTCCAGGACAAAGACAAACTAAGTGTTGCCATTTCCGTATCATCTTCTAACAGTGGTTATGCAGTCTTAACCTTGTAAAGATGCAAATTTAGTGTATCTCTTCAAACATTCTTACATAACTCAATTCATCCAGATTTGCAACGGGACAATCAATAAAGTTTAACAGTAATCATACCTTCGATCAGGTCCAGCCCCAGCTGAGACAGTATCACTGACGGTAAGAATAGCCACTCTATACTCAGGCCCAGGTACTTCATCGTACTTTTTTTCTTTCCGAATAGATCCTGGTTCTGATAATGAGGCTTTCTTGTCTATTGAAAAGCCACTAATATCAGAAACAATTACAGCTGATACAGAAGTTCCAGCAGAAAGCACATTGCTCGTAGCAGGCAACTCCAACAAAGCATTAGCCGATCTCATACTTAAAAGCCGACTGCTCATCTGATGTCCAGTGCTCTCAGCAACAAATCTGACAAACAGGTATATCTTATTAGCCCATTTAAGATAGTAATGCATACTAAAACTTACAAGAAAATCTAGGAAGATCCAGCTAAGTTTTTGACTCGAAACCAGACATAATTATGAACAGGCTCACCCAGGAGTTCCCGATCCATCGTTGTCTTTCCATTTGATTATGGCCCGATGAAACTCGGGACGGATGGGATCGGACTTTATGGGCTCCTGAAGTCGAGCTCGCACTCTGTGCAGAGATTAGACGGTAATCTACCCTTTCTTGACGATCATTTTAGAATGAATTGATATGGAGAAACAAGTATAATGAAAACTTCACTTACCTCAGTGGATGGGGGCTTGTCCATCCTGCAAGCTGGCGGATTGTAGGCACAACAAAGATATTGAAACAAACCAAACAGCTCACAGGATTTCCTGGTAATCCAAATGCAAGGACTGTTTTCCGCAGCATACTTTCAGTTGGTTTTGCACTAATCTCGGCGAACGTCAAAGGTTTCCCGGGTTTCATTAATACCTGCAGCAAAACTAAAATATGAAATCTTCTCGGTTCATTCTATATAGCAAACTAAACATTGTCAACTTGCTGAGCTTAAGTTGAGAAATTAAACAGTGAAGTACCCCAAAAAGGATTTTCAGAAAACATAGTGGCCAACTCTTCTGCTTTAAAGCAGAGAAAGAAAAATACAGCAGGGAGAAGATTCAGGAAACTTCTACTGCTTATTTACCTTGCTGAAATATACTTTCCCTTTCTCTTCGAGCAATGGCTTGACGAAATCCCTGTCTCCCATTGAGACACCACCAGAAGTTAAAATAATATCAACTCCAGAGGATATGGCCTCGTCCAAAACTCTCTCAAGTTCTTTTCTATCATCTCTAACAATTCCAAGGTCAACAACTTTGCATTGGTGCTGCATCACTGCTGCCACTAACATTGCTCGATTTGAGTCCCTAATCTGCAGAGAGCTCATTGTTTAGCCTCTAAAGATAATATAAGGTACAATACCTATTTGAAATTATGATACAGGTATAACTTTCATATGCATCAGGAGTCTTAATTCTGCATAATACCTGCCCACGACCTAAAGTCCCAGCTGTCGGCTCGACAAGTTCGTCCCCAGTAGAGAGAATAGCAACTGTTGGCATAGGATATACCTACAGGAAAGGTTTATTTTTCCTTACTTTTTTTGGACTTATCTTCTAGTAACTCTGCTAAGAGAAAACTGATATACAGCAATACCTTCACCATTGTTACTCCTGCGGTTGCTAGCAAGCCAATTTCTGAGGCACCAATTCTTTCTCCAGTTTTTAGTACAGTTGCATCTTTCTCAATATCACAACCCTAGCATATAAATTGAATGGATCTTATGAAATCCTCCAAGTCAAACAATAATGAACATATAACGATTGTATCTCCTCCAAACAGCTGAAAAAAGCTGCTCTTTCATCAACTTGTTACATTTGATGGTTTAATACTAGGGAAACATGCTTTATCTATCCCCAGGTCTTCTAGCGATGACCTCATGCATGCTTATTCTAAGTCCCACAAGAGTCTTTTCTCTAAGGAACATTGCAAATACAAACCTAAATAATAACCAAAAACAGGATGATGTCCGACAATTCAAGTACATATCCAAAACTAGCCCAGCATCCCCATTTGTCCCAATAACTTATTCATCAAACGACACAGCAATCAAATTCATTTACAATATCTACCGGTCTGGCATGCATCCTAATAATTTTCTTAGATCAACACATGTCATTACATTATAAAGAAAAGTATGAGATTTCAATTATTTAGCAAACAGTCAGAGATAAAAGAAAGATATCAAGTACAATAACAGCTATATAAACGAGAAAGAAGAAAGCATACCACTCTACGGATGTCAGTGCCTATCTTGGTTTGAATCAGTATTTTTACTCTTTTTGATTCAGTTGAGACGTCTCCAATTACTTTAGTGTCCTCAACTTGGACAACTGCATCCGCACCATCAGGTATAGGACCTAAAAGAGAAACAAATCAAAGAGAACAATACGTTGAAATCAAAGAAACATCTACTTTTCAGACACTTCACCATGAAGACACTACCAAATGGAAAATTATAGCAAGGAATGAATAAGAACAGAAACTAATAAGCACTTTCAAATACTCTAAAAGGAAGCTACAAAATTTTCAAGTGAGCAAATGACACAAATCATTATTAGTAAGAGAGTTTTCAATAGACTAACCACCAGTAGTTACATAAGCCACAGTTCCAGGAGTAACAGTCACACCCAGTCCATCATTCCCAGCTCTTGATTCAGTAATCACCGGATATTCTCCAGGACCATCCGAAGCAACAACAGCGTACCCATCCTAAGCAACGATAATGCCAAATTATTCAAATATTCTCTGTAGTACTCATGTCAAAGTCTATTCACAGGATGATTATACAATAAGTTGAATGTTTTTATTCACCTTAACGGAAGCAGGATATGGAGGTAGAGGATCAGGAGCACGAATATCCTCCGCCAACACTTTCCCAAGTGCTTCATACAGCGATACGATTACCGGAGGAAGACGCTTGGAGACGCCGAGTACTATTCTCAGAGCTTCCTCCGTCGGTATCATCTCCGTCTTTCCGCCGCCGCCGCCGCCACAACAACCTTCATGACCATCCATTTTTACCGTTCGCTGTTTGATAGAGAGAGACGATAGACACCCTTGAAATTCGAGCAACGTTGACGGCTTGTTTGGCAATCGGATTAGAGATATTATGACTCTAAATATAAATATCAGGAGAATAAGTTTAAACCTATAACCAAACACCCGTTTAATTTTTAACTCGTTAGTTAGAACATTTGAGACGTTTCAGTCACACTTCCCTCTTCCGATTCTCTTTAAACGGTCTCAAACCAAAATCCAAAATTGAAAAAATTCAAAACCCTAGAATCTTGTTTCTGGGTAATCGAAGGTGAAATTCGTGTCTTCGTGATCAGATACCATTAAATTTTAAGGAGATGACTGGATCATTGAATCCGGGATCGAATCCGGATCGGGTTTTATCTCCGACGAGCTCGAAATCGGTGACGCAGACGGTGAACGGGTCACATCAATTCGTGATTCAAGGATACAGCTTAGCGAAAGGGATGGGTATAGGGAAGCACATAGCGAGTGATAATTTTTCCGTCGGAGGTTATCAGTGGGGGATTTTCTTCTACCCGGACGGTAAGAATCCGGAGGATAATTCGTCGTACGTCTCTGTTTTTATCGCATTGGCGAGTGAAGGAACTGAAGTTAGGGCGCTTTTTGAGCTAGCTCTTGTTGACCAAAGTGGAAAGGGGAAACACAAGGTTCATAGCCATTTTGAGCGGTCACTTGATGGTGGACCTTATACACTCAAATACAGAGGAAGCATGTGGTACGATTGTTTCACCTAGTTGGTTTTTTGCTCACTGCTCTCATAATTCTTGTTTTTCTTGATTTCAGTCAGTTCGTTTGTACTTTGTAGGGTAAGGGTTCGTATTGGGTTTCTTTAGTTTTCTAAATTGATGCATGTTTGATCATTTCTGGTGAAGAAGAACTAATTTTGATTAGATTTTTCAGTACTTTGTATTAGGATTAACCATGAGCTTGATCTGACACGTGATCGGTGATTCCCTCATCTAGCTTTTATGGTCGATATCTGTTTACTAGCTGTGAGGTAAAAACTAAGAGGAGAAAATATGAAACTGATCACATGAATTACAAGATTCATCATGGTAATCGTATTAGGGTACTGTCAGAGATATTTTGCTCAGAGTTCAGTTTCTCTATTGATGAATCCTAGGCTTACTTGGGAGTGACAGCCATAGCTGATAGGTGTACCAAAAACTTGTGAACTGCTAAGGAGAAATGTAAATTTTGAACTCTGTTAGTGCTGCATGATTTTTCATATTGATGGTATTAACCCTGAATATTGGAGAATTCAGCTAGCCATAGTCAGTGTAGTAAACAGTCCTATGACTGATGAGTGATGTGGGTACTTGGCCCCATTCCAAAACTTGTTTGTGAGAAGATTATTGTGGCAATAAGAAAGACGTAGGTGGTTTAATGTTCATGACGCAGAAAAAAATTGAATGGGAAATCTATAATTAACAAGGTTTATAAGCTAACTCAGTTGTCGGAGTGTGTCCAGACATAGCCTTAGCTTAAGTCTTAATTGGAAAAGTTTTATTGATAAAAGTGGGTGGAGAACTTGTGTCTTCTATTCTTCCAATTTACTTTAATCCTTCTTGAAAGAGATATATTTGATCTTCTCTTTACATTTGTCTTTTGCTTAAGTTCTGCTAACTCAAGTTCCTGTAATTCTCTTTTCTTCTTTGTGGTTTGATTAGGGGATACAAGCGTTTCTTCAGACGTTCTATTCTTGAGACATCTGACTACCTGAAAGACGATTGCTTGATAATCAATTGTACAGTTGGAGTTGTGGTTTCAGAAATACAATGCCCACAGTTACACTCTGTTCACGTCCCTGATTCAGAACTTGGATCACATTTTGGTGTTCTACTGGATAGCATGGAAGGTTCTGATGTAACTTTTGACATTGCTGGCGAGAAGTTTCTAGCTCATAAACTAGTACTGGCTGCTCGATCTCCATTTTTCAAGTCTAAGTTTTTCAGTGAGTTTGCAGCAAACAATACAGAGGTTACTATTAATGATTTGGAACCTAAGGTTTTTAAGGTACATCATTGGTGGTTATTCTTTACTTATTTCTGTTAGTTCAGATCGTGCTTGTATTGATGCTCTGTTCCATCCAGGCTTTGCTACAATTCATGTACAAAGATTCTCTTCCAGAAGATGTGGAGCCTGCAACAACTCATACATTTGAGCGCTTAAAGCTGTCAGAAATATACGAGACATTGATTGTAAAGGTTTTAGCAGCAGCAGACAAGTACGACCTGATTAGGCTCAGGTTGTTGTGTGAATCTCACATCTGCAAAGGCGTATCAGTCAAATCTGTCGCCAAGATCTTAGCGTTGGCCGACAGATATAATGCTAAGGAACTGAAGAACGTTTGCCTTAAATTTACTGCCGAGAACCTAGCAGGTATGCTTCTAGATTGCATTTTAAAAAATTTGTTTTTAATACCATACACTATGCCATTAAAGTGTATGATGGTCTCCATAGAACTATTGGATCTTCTGTTGTGTTTGATTTGGTGGGGCCTTGGATATTGTAGCTGTACTGGAGACAGACGCTTACCAACAGATGAAGGATGAATGTGTGACCCTCCAGTCCGAGCTTCTGAAGGCGGTGGCTGGTCACGAGGAAGGCAGTAACAGTACTGGAGGAGCAAAGTCTCAGAGCGTGTGGGCCCAACTTTCTGATGGCGGTGGCGATACCACCAGCAGACATGTTAGACAACGAACCACCTAGAGCCTCAGCATGCATTTTCTCAGGTTAATAATAGCCATAGAGAGGGTATATAACTGTTTTTTTTTCTTTTTCAAAAAAATATGTATGATCCTAAGTCCTAACTCTATGATAGGTAAACTCTTTCACTTATCACTTCAGTAACAGCTTTGGATGTGTTCTTCATTTCGTGTTTATGTATTTTAAATCCCATGATAGTTTTAAATCCCAGAACATGTAGTTGTTTCTTTTACTCAAAACATTTTGACTTTTACGGATCCAGAAGCATAATAGTGTACGTATACAACAGATACATATTTATCCATCGAGTGAGTTGATTTTATGGTAATGTTGTTTATGTCATTGAGTTATAACTTCACTCAAGTTCTTGGAACAAGAAATAACTCATATCAATCTTAGTCAATAATAAAATGCAACTGATTATGTCTTAAATTTGCGATTCGATAAGAATCTAAAACACCGACCAACAATAAAAAGAAAAGAGAATCAACGAAAAGTCATAAGAGCGAGAGAAACAATCTTGTTCTTTGGTTTGTTCATTAGCAGAAAAGCTAAGTGAATTAATGGTGCTTATTTTTTCTTTCAGCAGAAGAACATTGAACTAGCAACATTGGTGTTCAGCTTCGGCATGGGTGGCACAGAGACTGCTCCAGCTATGGTGATCCCGCCGTGGCTCGATGAAGTCTCAGAAATGTCCTCAAACTTCATCGCAGTTCCCATCTGTGCAGCCGCCAAATGAGCATAACATATCGGCGCAACTGCAAAAATTTGAGATGTTACATCATGCATCGCAACAAGTTGTCATTTGTCACCATGAACGAAAGCAAACTCTAATCTCACAGCATCTACAACTATTGATAATGATCACACAACAAGGATAAATTCCACATAAAAGCTGAGATATCAAATGCCAAAGAATTACCAAGAGAGATTGCAGTTGTGCTCCGCTGGTAGCTACAAGTATCAAACCAAAGAATTAAGAGATTATTAGCTAATTCAATAGAGAGAATTAATGCATCAGATAAAAAGGTTTGAAGTGATCTGCTGCTTACACATAGGATAGGGAATGCACAAGTTCTTGGAGCTGATCTGTGTCAAATCCAATCTCGTCGTAGAGCACATGGTAATGTGTTGGCCTTGTAGTTCCCTAACACATCGAAAAGTGTTTTAAGTTTTTGTTCGATTCATAACGGATTCGAGCATAATACTATTTCACTTACAATCATTCCAGCATGAGCACAAAGGTAGAAATCGTTGTTGTGTTGGTGACAGATGTTACTATCAATTATTGTTCCTGCAAGTAAATAGAGAACAGGTTTCAAGTCATTTCAACACACCAACAAACAAAATCAATATTATTACCTGGAGGAACATTATCAGGGCTTCTGGTCTGGAAGAACTTGGTGTGGTGGTTTTTCTGAGCTATGATCACTGTAAACTTGGGAACCCACTTCTCCTCCAAGAACTTGCACGCCTAATAATGTAACAAAAGTAAAAACCTTAAACTCCAAAATGGTCAAACATAGGCTAAATATTTAAGAGCTTGAAAGTTGTAAAACTAAAATCCTTACTTGCTTCATCTGATCCAGTTCAATATTAAGAACTTGGTTAAACTGAGATTCACTCACACCATCCCTACATGTATTAATGTAGTTAAGAGTTAGAAAATTGTATTAAACTACTTTCAAAAGACTGTTAAATCTTGGATTATATGCATACCTGAAAATAATAATGTGATTGGGTTTCACTGCAGAACTTGAGTAAAAGTCAAGCAAGAGCTCCCTGTAAACACATCATTGAGTCTTAAAATCATATACTGTTACATAAAAGCAGAGCTAATTAATAGAGTACAAAATAGTCCAGTAATATTATTACCTCATGATACCTTCATCATCTTTGTCAGAGACGGGTTTAAAGAGGTTATCGATCATTTCAACTTTACGCGACTGTGTACGCACACAAGCCCTGTATTTTGAGATCAGTGGCCATTCTCTGGAGCTCACAACCTATGCATTCAAGATATATCAGTATCTTACAACACAAGAAAGTTTACAAGAAAAAAAAACCAATGTTACCGCGGCAATGGATGGTGCATCAGACTGTCCAGGAGAACCATGAGATACATCCATCCCAATAATGATGGTAGGAACTTTCATTACCAAAGGCATTGCTTGTGACCGCTCCATATCCAACACTGAATTCAATCCACCAAGCTATACAGAAATGGCAGAGATTAACAAAGATAATTATATCAGAAACTAATTAAAAGATTGATTCAAAAAGAGATCACCTTGGCATTTATCTTGAGGAGAACATTTGAGAGATAGTGATCATTAACGTTTTGAGGAGGAGCAATACACTGATTCACAATTCCAACTTGAACAAGATTTTTCTTTTTCCAAGGACCTAAGGGATACAACAATTATCCATATGAGGAAAGAAATGAGTATACTAAATGATTCAAGTAATGTTTAAGTGCTTAGTGTTACCATAAACATCAGAGTTTTTCTTTTCGAGTATGCATAGAAGGAAATTTGGAGGAACGTCACCGAGCGTGGATTCTAAACGTTCAAACATCTTTTCAACTCTTACAGAACCTGGTGCATCCTTAAACTGAGGATCTTCTTCAAAGACAACCTTGTGTGGAGGATCTACGTTCTGGTATTAAAGAACACACAAAAACAAAAACAAAAAAACAAGAAATGGTTTTGTAACAAGTGTGATCTATATAGTAAACAACGATCCTGAAGAAAGGGTAGCTTACAATTCCTTTCATATTTCCACATCTGATCAAATCACGAACAATCTTGCGCGGGTCACAGCGAGCAGAGAAGTTCACAACAGCCCATCTAGTAACTGTTGCTGACTCAAAAATTATCTGTAAAAGAAAGTTTGATGATCAGTGTCACAAGGTTTCAATAAACAACTATGAGAAAAAAACTTGTTTGAGAAGACAGAGGACATAATAGTTAAGGACCTTGTTATTGAAGTTCCAACGCCCATTCTTAGGATAGATGTCTTGTTCATTGCCAGCTTTAAGCTGTTTATAAGGGATTAAGAGATCAGAGATAATAATAATAACATCAAACCCTCCATGACCAAAAATGAAATAGAAGAGTCACCTTGGGTGTTGGTAACAAGCGACCTTCGACTTGAGTGAAGTCAGAGCCTATTCTAACACCACATTCTTGCAACATTGGGTCATCATTATAATTACTGTTCTTGAGAGCCTGCAACATGGAACTTAATATATATAAAAAATGCAAATAAAAAGAGGATAAGTGGAAAAATAAAGATCTTACTCTGGTTAACACTTCCATTCTTTGATGAGGATTTTGCCTTGATTCTTTGACAAGGTTACTCCTCTGAAAACTTGTAAGAGCTTTAGTATAGCGTTGTAGAGATACAAGCTCACAGAGCTGTCAAATGTGAAAGAAACAAACACGTATTATCATATAAGCCATTAAACATGAAAATGTGAGAAAACAAGAAACACACAAACTAAACCTTACCTCAATGGGAAAGTAAGTAGGAGGACGATTTGGCTTACCAACATTGATACATGGTAAGCCACCTGAATAATGCAGTTTGATGTCACGGATTTTGGTGAAGTAATCAAACACTGTAATCTCAACCTCCTCAACTTCCCTGTTTTGGTTCTTTTTCTTCCAAGTAAACCTAAATCACACAAGAAAAAGTGATCACCGATAAGCAAATCAAGGAAACTTAAAACATATATATGTTCAAATACAAACATTTGATCTTTGCAGTGTAGTCCACTTAGTCCGGTTATCTTGTATTCTTTATTTGAGGGGATGACTTTAACTCTAAGATTCTTGAGAGTACTTTTAGCCTATATAACAGAAAGAACAAAAAATCAGAAAAATTTCAAATAGAAGTTCTTCACCTCAAATATATGCTAAAACACCATTTGAGATTCTTCTAAATACCTTTTTCCAGTTAATAGAGAATGGATCTTTCACACCTTGGTTTCCAATAAGAAAATCAACAACAGGACCAGGTTTTACTATCATCGTAGTCGAAACATCTGATGAAAGAAAAACCGAAATGTTACAAAGAAATTTTTTAATATCACACTAAAAAACATATATTAAAAGAAAAGAACTTACCAATATTGAGGGACAAGCCTCCCTGAGTAGTTCTGAAGCTTGAATGGAATCCTTTGCAACAATCAACACCTTCACCGATATTCGTAAAGTACTTTGCATCATTGTGGAAGAAAGATTGGCGAACTAGGAGGCAACCTCTGCGCAAAACGGACATGTGACAAGGGAACATCATCAAAAACGTTAAAAAAGATGGAAGAAATATCGAGAAAAGTTTTACTTACTTCCGAGCAGCATTTTGGCACAAAATAACATCCATCACTCTGATAGCATCTTGAAGATGCTTCGTTTCCTTTCCTTGAAGAGCATTTGCAATAGCTTGCATAGGGATTTTTGTAGCAAAGCTGATTGCAACATTGAATTTCTTGGATTGGTGAGAAAGCCTTAGTCTTTTGTCTGCATTTCTCCTAGAAGACATGTCTTCAAGAACAACAGAGAAGTCTAGATTGGATCCGGGAAGAGGACCGGCAGTGAAAAGAGTCTTGTCGCCGTCATAAGCAAAGTGTTTGAAACCCAAATCAGTTTGATAAGTCTGTTGAAGTTTTTCAAGAATCTTTCTACCAATACCCTTGGCTTCAACTGGACTACCATCATCATATGTGATAGCAACCTGTATCCAACAAAATAAAGAGACAAAGCCCATGTTAAAGTACGTTTCTCAAATCAGTCATGGAAATGGGACACTAAAGAAAACAAGAAGCGCACGCTGTAATGGAAGAAATCAGGACTGTTTGGTTGACTGAAGTTAACTCTAAAGTGGTTAGTGAGAAGATGAATCTTCTTTCCTTTGGAACCGTTGCCACGCCGAGCCATTGGAAGAAGAATACTCTTGTTCTTCACAGATTCCCGTTCCATTTCTGGAGTAGCAAATCCCACAATGTCAGAATTTATAGCAAACTTAACCCAAATCTATAACAAAATTTGAGTATGAAACTTAGAAGATGATGTGCTCTTCTAGCTATTTAATGTCAAGATGATGCAGGAGCTTATAGAATATTAATTAATTTAGATTTATTTCCTATTTAATATTTGGCAATTTCTATTGGTTTTCCTTATAACCTAAAAGTGACTGTTGACTGCTAAAGATGGAGAGAATTTAGCATCGAATAACCTTAACAAATAAATGTAACGTACAAAAGATTGAAAAAAAATTATAGAATACAAAAGTACACGAGACGTTATTCCAGATATTTAGAAGAAAAATGAAAAAAAAAGGCTCAGAAATTTTAGATCTTTCGGATGTCACAGAGAGGACAAAAGAAAAGAAGTTTAAAATATCATTTAAAAACACGATTAAAATCACTACTATGAAAAGAAGAAGAAACGAAACCCCACACCACAATACATATATGTATATTAAGCTCGAATTAAAGAAAATTAAGTTGGCACGTACGTACGTAAGAGAAGATATGACACCAAATAGGTCTTGGTGTAGTGTGGTTTTGCGTCTTTGAGACAGATGTTTTCCCACAGAGAGTAATGTATGGGTTATGATTTGACTGGGAAAAAAAAAGAACAAGTTATGTAAGATCGGAGACGAAGAGTCTGTGAGTGCAAAACAAACTATTTTATAGCCTTTTTATGCTTCTCGTACAAGAAATTCGAGAAACTAGTAATTGACTTCTCACCTATATGTGCACTACTTTTTTAAGTGGATGCTTGGCTGTATAAGTGTATATGTATGTTGTCTTGTAGATTAAATGGGTAGGTTTGTTTTATTATTGTTTTTGTTGTGAGAAAAAACTTACAATTTCTAAAGTCAAATATACTTGTTTAAATAAATTATAAAAATAAAATTAATACGACTTTAAAACACTTAAAACCTGAATTTCCTACAGTTCAAACTAAATCATTTACGTATTAAGTGTAGTATCACCTAAACTATAAACATGTACAATGTAGAAACGTATTAAAACGTCATGATCATCCTACTATATACGTTGAAAACTCATGTAGGTTGTTTGACACATGACATTTTTCTTGAATAAATACATCTTGTACAAAAATCCAAACCTTTTACATTGAATTAACCGAAATTTTGGATAAAATAAAATAGAATAACATTTTCTAAATAAAGTAGCATTTAACTAATTTTATGTATAGTTAGGAACATTTCCATACACCTCATGATTAACAAATACAATGTATGCTAAAAAGATAAGAGTAACATAAAAGTAATAATTGGAGGATGATTGTGGGAAGTTGCTATATTGTTACAGAGAAACAGAAGCCAAATTCTTGAAGTTTCCAAGAAACACCAATAGAGAAAAATAGATGCATGTACTAGTTCTGTAACCGGAAGTTAATTAATGGTGTCTTTATCTTCGTTTTTTGACCCTAATTAACGGTCAAAACTTTGCCACACACATGAAAAAGGTTCATTTACTGTAGAAAAACAACTAGTGGAAGATTTTCAAAATCAGCTTAGAAGTTAAGTGAACTTTTTGTCTTTTTTGTTGAATTTCAAACCCTTCTTTCTTTTTCCAATTTTTTTTTGAAGGTTCTCTGAACTACTAATTTGGAATACAATCCTAGCAAACTCGATGTAATAATAAAGTAGTAGAGGCCCACTACAAGAATAGTGAGTATCCTTAGCATTAGAAGATAGCAATTGATGTGGTTCTGCTATATTAGACTTAGCCTTACATTTAGGATAGCGTTTGTGAAAATGTAAACGCTAAACCTAGGTTTCCACTTTCCACTTCAGTAACAGTTTCAGATGTATTAATTCTGCTGTTTCTGTTTACGTATTTTACGTCATGTAATGTATTTCTCAAACCACTCTGATATTTACTTAGCTTTGAGTTTACAGTAGTTTTTAGGAAATTTGTTACTAGGTAAAAGTGAACGTTTATTACAATTATTTTTATTTTGTTGGGTTAAACATACACCACTAAATTGCCATTAAATTTTCTCTTTAATAAAAAAAAATTATCATAAAATAAAATTATGCACGTTAAGGCCCTGATTGGTTGGTGCTTTAGAGTCTTTACAAAGCAAAAAAATTTCTAAAGCATTGAAATAGATCCAATCAAGCTTTAGAAGCTTTGGCTTTCCTTTTTTTTCTCACAGCCAAAATATTTCCATAATTAATTTTTTTGCTGTAGAAAGCCTTTTTTCTAAAGCATATAATTTTCAACTTTCCAAAATTTTAAATGCTACAGCAAAAATACTACAGCACTAAAATCTACAGTCACAGCCAAAACATCTACAGCCTAAAATCTACAGTAAAAAATCTAAAGCTACAGCCGGAACCAATCAGGCCCTAAATTGAAAACCATGTCCTGGTGAAGACGGTAGTGGTGCATGACGATGTCATATATTGTCATCTTAATTTTGACGCCATCGGAATTTCATCTTCTCTACCATTACGAGAAAAAGAGAGATGGCAAACTAAAGGAGTCACGGGAGAAAAGAGATTCTCTTTTGTTTTTAGTCAAAGAGTTAATTGTCTTAACATGAAGAATGTGGGTTCTAAAAACCAAAATTTCCACCAAACAATCCTCAAAATTATGTATCAAATATTTTTATAATTGAAGAGACTAGAAAATGATTATAGGTAAAAACCATGCAAGGACACAATTGAAGAGACTAGAAAATGATTATAGTAATTCAAACGAGAACCATGATCGTCACTCGTAAGGATCCCTTTGTCATGCATTCACGGTGGAACAAATATCAAATTCTTGAAGTTTCAAAGAAAAACTAATAGAGAATGGAACTTGCTGTTTTGTTTATATTTCGTTCTCTTGTTTTTGAGCTTGAAAAATGTTAATACGTTTGTTGTATTGTAAGATTTTGAAATTCAGTTAGAAAAGTTAGTGAAGCTTCGTTTGCATTTTTCATACTAAAAGCTTCCAAAACATATGAATAAAACAAGTAATGCTAAAAGCCAATTTTTCTCATTTTCCACCAATCACAAGACCTAACTCCTGATAGGTTAAAAGCCAGTATGTGCCAAGGTTATAAAATCGATTTGCTGAATGTATCAAAGATAAATCGGATCACATTGCTTAGGCCTTTGCCTTTCCACTTGCTCTTCGTTTACTATGCCAGGCTCGGTTCCTATCTCCATTGATGGGGTTCTTATGAGCAGCAACGGAGCATTGGTCAGGCCTTCCACTCTTTGCATTCATCTCCATTTGCATTCTCCTTCGTCTCATCCTGTTCTCAAGCCTCATTCCTTTAAGGGCTTGAGTCCTTCGCTCTATCTCCAGCGCTTGTGTGAAGTTCCATATCCGGACTATTCCTTCTTCACCTCCACACACTATACGGTCACAACCCACGTCCACAGAGAACAAGTTTGACCCGAACCCGTGCAGCATTCTTTGCGGCGGTTCCACAGTACTCGAAGAAAACCTTTTGGAATAGGCACGACGGTTAGTCTTCAACAACTTCCTAACGTCGATAAGTGCGAGTTTACCATCACCAGATGCTGAGACAAGCCAGGGAAACTCAAAAGAAAGAGAGTAGACAGGACTAGTGTGGGGCATCCATTGAGATATGAGTACAACGCTTGTTTCACTACCGTATCTTCTGATCTCAAACATTTTAATCCCTCCATCTTCTCCGCCAGTAAACAGGAAATCCCCAGTATGGCTTCTTGCCAAAGAGTAAGTGGTACCCTCATGAGCATCAGGTATGATCGTCAGTGGAGTCTCACGGTCAATGTCCCAAATATATACATCGGAACCTGACGTGCTAGCGAGGCTGGTTTCATGAGGTGCAAGGCCCCAAACCCAATCACTATGCCTCAAGGTTTTGACACACTTCATTGAAGATCGATCCCATATACGAACAGACATGTCCCATGAACCGCTAAAGATACTTGTCATGTCCAGGGCAAGAGATGTAATAGGACCCTCGTGTCCCCATAGCCGAAAGTCGGTCTTCTCTTTCTGAAAACCTGTGAGATCAAACAGGTTCCGGAGACCATCCAGTGATTTCCAGCAATGTATAAATCCATCAGTACCGCCAGCTACCAACAGCTTTGTATCAGCGGCAAGTGCCCTAATTGTGCAACCGAGAGGTTTAGATGCTGCAATAGACAAACCTTCTTCCATGTCCCACATCCGAACAATGGAATCATATCCAGAAGTGAAAACGAGCTTGGCAGAAGCTAAGAGAAAAACAATCCGGACTGCTTCAGTGTGACCATACAGAGTATCAATACTATAACGTCCTAAAAAGTTCCTACTCCTAAATTCCCTTTCAGCAAACAGCTCTTTCCATGATCTCTCATCAGAAAGCCCTGAACTTGTAGCTCCGAAAACAACGGGGAGTCCCCATCTCTCACGATAGAACTCCTTCCAAGCGTGATGCTCAGATGCTAACCTATGCAGACAAGTTGAAACACAGGACACTAAACCTAACTCCTTTGGGTCAAGACAATTAAGAATCTCAGATATCAATGCCTGAGGCAAATCAATAATGGTAGTAGACAAATCCTTGTCAGAGAGCAACTGTTTCGATCCACTAGGCACCAAAGTTCCCTTCTTTTGCTGACAAGACAACTTCACACTTGGAATCTCAACAGATCCATTTTCTATTCTCAAATTCAGAGTATCGGACTCACTTCTTTGTTCGTTTACAGCTTCAAGTCTCTCTTGGCACTCAAATGCCATGAAAAGCCAGTCAGCGTCTGATGTAGCCCGTAACACTTAAAACAAGGAGCTTTTCACGAACGACCCTGACCGGATCTCGAAAATCTACAGCCCCAGAGACGAATCCAGCTAAGCTTGAAGAAAAACGAGAAAACGATTCATCAATTCAACCAAACCAGATTAAACAAAATCCAATTTTTACTCGAAAAATCGATAAATCAGACCTAACACAAACACATCATCAACAAAGAAAAAGGAAGAGATTCGTAAATGTTAGCTAAAACGAAACAAAGGAACAATGAGAGAAATCCCTAGAAACAGAGATGAAACCTAAAAACAAACAACAGAATCGAGAAAAGTTAGTACCTTTAGTAATCAAAACAAGCTATTCGTAACAGAGGAGAGATTTTTCGCCCAAATTACGTTGCCCTAATTTCCTCTAGTCGGATTGATGATATTGAAGATGGAGAACCAACCAACCAAGCAAAGAATGTAAAAAAAAAATATTGCCAATTTTTTTTTTCCTGGTCCCGGGACGGTGCTATACTAACCGTCGGATCGAAATAAATCAAGCGTTCGAGATCGTAACAATACATAATTTTTTTGGTTTATTTAATAATTGATCCTATTTTATTTTATTTTTGCTAAAAATTGATCCTCTTTTTGCTGCGTTATTTTATAAAAGTTTTCAAAATTCCATAAAATTCCACAATAAGTGATTATTTTCTAAAATACGCATTTTTCTAGTAAATCATGTATCACATGTTTTTCCAAGCAATCATGACCTTGAAGCAATTTCTTCTATGTCTTTTTGCGGCCTGAAGAACCGAACGACCATATCATTTGGGTTAGCCCCTTTTTCTCCGATACACACAAGCGGTTATTGAGGATGCACATTATGTCTTTGAAAGGGTCACATTATCCCGGGAACAGGGAGCCTTAGAGATAACCTGAAAAGTCTCTGTGTGAAGATCGAAAGATAATATCTTGGTTTCTTCACAAAGGGTGAGCCAACGAAGTGACCCGTCTAAATACATGGGATAATGGTTAGGGCCAAAGTACCTCCAAGCATTGGTGCTAAAATCGAAAATTGGTAACGTTGTCGAGTTCAAATTTGGATGAATTATATAACCAAACCGGACTTATAGGTGACAATGATTTTGTCTTTAGTCTTTACCTAATCCAAGCGTAGGATATGGGAAGTCAAACTCTATTTTCGGCTTTGATTTTAATTCGGGCTTCTAGCCCATACCATCTTCCTTTAATTTGGGCTTCTAGCCCATAATTTGGGCTTATATATGGTTAATTTTTATTTGATCCTATTTTTGCTGCGTAATTTTCTCAAAGTTTTCAAAATTCCATATTTTTCACCTCCTACTCTCTCACAAAGCGATCATCTTCCCCAACATGTCTGATTCTTCCTCAAGCCATGACTCTCCACCTTCTCCAGCGATCACCGGAGATTCAGAAACCACCATAACCACCGATCCAGAATCCAACACAAAATGTCAAACAGCAATCCAATCCTTATCCACGATCGTCACAACCACAAACATCCCTTCCACAATCTCTACCCTCCTCGACGACGAAGCCGTCTCCACCGCGATCTCCTCTCTCCTCCTACGTCCTGATTCAGGCGCCGGAGATAACAACCTCTGCCGTTGGCTTTACGACACCTTCCAATCCGCAGAACCATCGCTTCAGATTCTTGTCCTCCGATTCGTTCCTTTAATCGCTGGTCTCTACCTCTCTCGTGTCCCTCTCCGTCAACCACAAGCCGGATTCGAAGCGGTTTTACTCGCTCTCTACGCTCACGAAACAACCTTACGCGCCGGTCAAGCGATAACCGTCAACATTCCAGATCTCTCACATCCCAGCATTTACCACGAATCCAAAGGTCTCACTAGGAACAACTCAACGTGTCTCAACATCGCCGTAATCTCCTCCACGTTAGATCCACACGGGACGGTGAGATCTACGCGCCGCGCGAGGATCGTCGGAGTCGCGTTGGAGCTTTACTATAGCAAAATCTCGAAAATGCCACGCGAATCTAAGCTTAATTTCTGCGAATCGTGTGAGAAATGGGCGGGGCAAAACGGAGAAACAGAGCAATCTTCACGGGCTGTGATTCCGACTTTGAGCGATGATTCGTGGAGAGAGGAAGAGAATGTTGCTATTGGAGGAAGATCTGAGAGAGATAGTGGAAGGATTCCATTGCCATGGGAGCTTCTCCAACCGATTCTGAGGATCTTAGGGCATTGTCTCCTTGGGCTCAAAATGGAAGATAGGGAATTATCGGAGGCGGCGAATAAAGCTTGCCAGAGTTTGTATCTCCGATCGCTTCATGATATAAATCCGAAGGCGATTCTGGCTACCGGAAGTCTTCTCCGGCTCCGGGAGATGGCTCTTGATCCCAAGAATCAAATCGATCACACTGAGATATCAAACGACACCGTTCTCACCGTCTGACCCCGTTCTGCATTTTTATTTATTTATTCAACGCTTTCTTAAAAACAACTTTGATTTGTCAAACCAGCAAAAATGTTTTTTTTTTTCTTTTTGTAATGTAAGGAGAGGTCACGTTCTTGTTCGCTATATGTTTTTAATGAAAAGAAACGATGAATTTTTTTGCGTTGACAAGATCATAGAAGAGGTAAATTATGAATTGTGTATTTTGATAAAACTAAAAACCACATCCTCTCAGTGAAAAAGATCCTGCAAATCGATGATATCTGCAAGAACTCCGGCTGCAGTTGTGTCGTTCCCGGCTCCAGCACCTTGAATCACTAAAGGCTGCTCCTTGTAGCAACGGCTATAAATCTCTACCTGCAGTTTTCCAACCATATCAGTTATTCTTACTCACAAGAAAATCTAGAGGCAAATAGTGTGCTTGAGTTCATGAGATAAAGTGAGCAAATGAATCAATCAATCTCATATGAGCTAAGTGTGCAGAGAAGGGCACTGATAAGCTGTTTAAACCAAAGCTTCTCTTCCATGAGCAGTTTCAGGAAGATTTAACAAATAGAATCTTATAATAGACTTACTATATTGTCACTGCCTCTTAATCGTCCCAATGGTGAATCTTTTGGAACTTCTCGAATGCCAACTTGAACGCTGCAGAGAGACCGTGAAATTTAAAATCCCATTAGAAGACAATTTCAACATTGTACACTAGCATTCTATGGGTGATATAACCAATATAATTAGGAAACAATTTTCTCTCTAGCTACAATAAAATTTGCCTTGAACAAAATATTGAATGCTGATTGTACCAAAAAAAAGTTGGGGTTTGGAAATGTAAACTGTTATTACCTTGAACCCTCAATCACACAGACATAACGAAGCACACACCCATTTGATGAAGCTCTTTTAACTCTCTCCTCTATATTCTGATCAAGTTTTACTATTCCATTATGGAGGAAATCATCCACAGACATGAGTCCAGGTCCCATCTCTTCAGGATACAAGCTCTCTATCTACAGAGAAACAATAAAAACTACAAAGGTTACAGGAGAAAAAAAGGATCAAAGGAGTCTAGTTTGGAGTCATTTTTTTCTGGGATCGAGAAGGCAGAACCAAAATTTAGAAAAGACTGAGATCAGCATATCTACAGCCCAATTCAAACTTTACCATTAAAGACAAAAATGAACTAGAATTCTCCAGCCGAAAAAATCAACTGGAATTTTACTCGAAGATATTTGGTTCACCAAAGATAAATCACAGCATCAAATACAAAAGATAAAAGATAAAATGCTTTGAAAGTGATTCACACCTTTATGCTATCCATAATTATCCTGTTCCCAAGAAGTCGAGCAAGAATCAAACCCTATCATGACAGAAGCAAACAAAGTTGAAAAACATTTAACTTTGTATTAATTATATTTTCGTAGCAAAAAAAATTGCTTCAAATGAAAATATATGGGAATTTCAACGCATACTCTTATTAATCGTAGTGAGTAAGTAAACACACAACAATTGGAGGATTTGCCTACCAAAAGCATCAGGATATCCGATTCAAAAGAAAAGGTTTGTTCACATGACCACCAGACAAATCATGACTGCCTTTTTATGTACATTACTTGAATTAGATGAATAACGCAATATGAAGGTAACCTCAACTACATCAACAAAGGTATGCATGCACTCTAACTCTCGTAAGAGACACTACATCTATATGTTCAGACCTTTCTAGCAACATCCATGCCACTCAGGTCGTCACGTGGATCTGTGAATAAAACAAAAGAACATGTCAATCAAACATCATATTTAGAATATCAAAATATCATCTTTCTTTTCATCTATTACAGGTAGTTTTTCCCAAGGCTAAACCAGCTATGATGCACTATAAGGTCAAAGCAAGTTGGAGAATATTGTCGAGCTACAAAACAGCTTATGGAGTATAGAAAAGCAGACAAAGCAATATCTACTTGAACATAACGCTGCTAAAAGAAAGCAGATGACTATCAATCAGACAAAAAAAGATATGTGCCATGATGACTAAAATAAAACTGGACAGACCTGGTTCAGTGTACCCCAGCGTTTTAGCAGCTTGAACAACTTGGCTTAGAGGCTTGCCATCTTCAAGCTCACTCATTACATATCCCAAGGTACCTATCATTAATTGAGCACGGATACAAAGATACGTAAATAAATTATACATGCATATATTGGGATAAGAACAACTATAAACATCTATAACACTATCATGGTACAATGAATTGCATCTGAAGTGTAATTACCGCTCAAACTACCGACAATTCTATGAACAGGATCTCCAGACGAGATTATGCGGTTCAAGGATGCGATGACAGGAAGACCAGCACCAACCTATAAATAAACATATGTCAGGTGCAAAAGCTTTAAAAATCTCACTACCTACCATATACAGCCAACCATACCACCACATGTTTAAACTAGTTACATTCTCAAATGACTACTATATGTGAAATAATAGTATTACTCTACACACAAGCTGTGTTTCACCTACAGTAGATTCATGGCGGATGAATCGCGGATGCAAAGCCAATTTATCGTAATGTTCCTGCGCAGAAGACAAGATGAGAGAAAATATGAGTACTTTCCAACTACTTGATAAACTA